AGTGTGCGGTTCTGGACTGGATCCCGGACTGAGTAGGACAGCCATGAAAGACCAAGAGGTGGGTTCAGACGAGGGCAAGCCAATGTGCAAACCGTGGGCGTTAGCTAATCAAGGGCATTGATACGGCTTCAATCATAACAGTGGTTCACGCTCATCGCGACATTACTAAATGGGGGGAGAGGGAGGGGGGCTGGGATGAGAGGAAGCAAACGGGAAGCCCGTGCCTTCTACTGGATTTCCTATGAACCTGAAACTGCCAAGACAGTCTAATGATTCAAAAAAGACTACTGAGGCAGCTTAAGAATTTTTAAAATGGGCAATGAGATGATGGTTCAATGAGATGACAGTTCATCAACATTGAGTTCATCAACACGTTTGGGTGAATTTAAAAAGTTAAAACAGAGAGAGGGGCCAGGGTAGAGCCAAGAGGAGCAGGTGGAGGGATGTGCTGTCACCTAGTGCTGCCCAGAGGCCAGGGGAGTTGGGGACAGAGATACATCCACTGGGTTGAGTGATGAGGTAGCTCCTGTCACCTTGCTGGGGTGAAATTCAGAGGAGGGGAGGGGCAGAAGGCAGATGGGGCAATGGAAGGAGGAAGGAACAGGAAGAACAAGTGAAGATGATACCCTGGGTCTCAGTGGTCAAAGACAAGTTTCTGCACCAATTCGTTCCCAAATCAGAGAAGCCCCGTTGCTTCCGGGCTCTGAAGGTAGATGGAGAGATGGCCCTGGGATAACACAGTGTGTGGTTTTAGGCCTGTCCCTGGCTCTCCTCTTTTGAAGGACAGAAATAGCATGGCCTAGTACAGCCCAGCACTTTGGCTGTGACCAGGGAAAAACCAGATTTGAGCTGTCTGCAGAGTTACAAGGTGAATCTCTGAGGCCCAAAGTCAGACTGTCTTGCTGTTGCCCAGCCCCGACCTGGCCCTGTGCAAGCCACACATGAGAAGAGGCCAAGAGGCCACTTCCTCCCCCTGAAGAAGGCGGTCATGATCGTTATGGACCAGGTATGTGAGTGTCTATCACAGTGCCCAGCACATAGTAGGGACTTTAAAAATCACAGTTGTGAGAAAAAGCTTATCTATCACAGAAAGCTCACTAATGCTTCGTGAGATTTGATATCACAGAATTAGAATTTCATCCCTCTAAGACACCAAGGGAAAGGTGTCACAAGGTAAGAAAATAAAAACCTCCACCAAGACGGAGCATTTGACCGAAAAGCCTGTGTCCAGCAGGGGCACTAGGGGCTGCACCTTCGCTGTCCGGGGAGAGAGAATAAACAAAGACAAGGACATCCAGTGTCTCATCTTGGCAGAGATTAAAGGAGGGGGACAAAAACTCATTTCTAAGAGTCCAGACAGCAAGCTTGCGCTCCCCAAAACTGATGGTCTCACTTTGCACAATCAGTGTGACCCGAAGAGAAGCACACACGGCCCACAAACAGGTGTCACAGCCATGGCAGGAGGGAGGTTGGCCTGGGTGGAGGAGGGAAGCAAACCCCACACCTCCCTGGAAGAACTAGATTCCAACACGGCACCCAGACCCTAGAGCTGTGAAAAATGAAGTCTCAAAAATCTATGAAATATGGTCGAGTAAATGAACTGTGGCTCTCTGGGGCCTGAGTCATTGGTTTATGGCGAGAGCCCGTGCTGGGCTCCAGGTGGGAGGTGGCAGCTCTCTGCTCCTGCAATCCTGGTTTGCCCTGGTGAATGGCATGTGCGCCAGTCTGTTCCTCAGGTAAGAGTGTGTCTGGGAGGGCGACAGCACCTCCCCAGGACAAGGCAGGACTTCGGTTAACTCACAGCCCACTGCAACCCTAAACGCCATTACGCTTTGTGGCTCTGAGGGCTGCGGGCAGACATCCAGTGGCACTGAGCTGGCCAGGGCAGAGGCGGCTGCAGATTAATACATCTTAATTATTCTGTTTATACAAACAAGCAGGATGAAGGCCCCACCGTAGCTGGAACTTTCAATGACTTGGGGCCCAGAGAGAGAAAAAAGTGTAGAGAACCAACTGCTTGATAATTAGCTTGGGAGCAGACTTTTGGTTTTTCTTCCCTTTGGACTAAAAATAACATATGGGATGTTTTTACATTGGCAAGATTACAACCTCTGCAGATGGTGCTTATTTTCTACCTGTCAGGCCTGTGTGTGCGAGTGTGTGCAGAGTCACACACAGGCTGTGCAACCCAGCACAAACCACAAGGATGCTATAGTTGGGATGGGGAGTGTCCCCAAGAGCCCAGGTCCTGAAGGCTTGGTCCTCAGGGTGGCGCTGGGAGATGGTGGTACCTTTAAGAGGTGGGGCCTGGGGAGAGGTCCTGTTGTTGGGGGCGTGTCCTAGGAGACTGGGGAGCCCTGCTCCCTTCCTGGACAGGCAGATGGTGGTTCTGCTGTGCCTCATGCTCTCTGCTGGGATGTGCCACCTTGTCACAGGTCCGAAGCAACAAAGCCAGCCGACCATTGACTAGAAACTCCAAAACTGAGCCAAAGTAAGCCTTTCTCTTTATAAATTAATGATCTTGAGTATTTTGTTATAAATTATATAAGCTAACACAGGAAGACCAGAAGGAAAAAAAAAGATCAAACCCCACGGAGGATTTCCCCTTTTGAAAGCCACCACTCCTGCTCGCTCTGTCCTCAGGCACAGAAGCAGGGCCCTGTCTGCAGAGGTCTCAGGTCCTCGTTTCCACAGCAACCCAGAGCCCACTACGCGCCAGTTGTTGCTGAGGACTTTGCCTTCCACTAGCTCAGCGGAATCCCTTGTATTCACAGGAAGACCACGGGTGGGGGACTAGCAAAAGGTCACACGTGCTAATGGTGGGGTCAGGATTCGAATCCAGAACATAAAGCAGTGGTTCTCCAAGTGCTTCTCAGGCCCACAGGATCAGCACTGCCCTGTTAGAAACGCAGATTCCTGGGCCACTCCAGTCCTAATGGCTCAGAAACCCTAGGACTGGGCACAGCAATCTGTGACATGGCTGCTATATATCAGCCCATAGGTTGCTTACTTCCTCCCAGGAGACTGAGGTCTCATCTCAAAAGCTGGCCAGCACCAAAGTAAAAAATGTATACCTCCACTTATTAAACACAGCCCCGCTCCGCCTTCCTGCTTGCCTACCCCGAGTTTTATACAAAATGGCACCCAACATCTGCTAGGAGGAAATGAGATAAACCTCGGGATGCAAAGACCCCTGTGGCTGCTGCCCTGCAGAGCTCTCTGCCCCAGAGACGCCCCCTGTGCTGCCAGCAATCCCAGCCGGATGTGAAGCACCCTCCGCCCGCTCCTTCCGCCCGCCAGGTGTAGGAGGGCAGCGGCTCTTTCCTTCGCTGACGTGGTCTCAGTGCTCAACAGAGCTCAGCCCAGTCGGCCCTCAGGGAACACGGGAGAAGGAAGGGGTGAGTGAAGGAGGAGCGGCAGGGCCACCACGGTGGGGAGGACCCACACTGACACATTAAGCACAGGCCACAGGGAACCTGAGCCTGCACTGGAGGGCTGGGGTCAGCCAACCAAGTGGCACGTACCCAAAAGCCTTCAGCAAGCAATTCCTATGTGCTGGGCACCATGGCCAGGCCCCTGGGGACCCACACATGACTCCTGCAGGGACCTGCCCTGGAGGCTGCATAGATGGGGCTTAAAGTGCAGGAGTTAGAGGCAGCCAGGACACCTGGCCCCGTGTCCCCGTATCCCACCAGAAGCCACTAGGTGGGGCTGTGTGGGTCACCTGCCCTTTTCGGATGTTCTTTCCTGTTTCATGAGGAGGCTGGTGTGGTTCTGAACTTGGGGAAACCAGGGCTTAGGCACTAAGAAGCCTATCTTCCACACATAACAGCTCACACGACCGTCAACACTGATTCATTAAGTAAGTAAAGTTGGCATTAACGTTATAGAGATGGGCAAAGTGCACCCCAAACCAAAGCGACTTGCTGAAGGCCCCAGAGCTGCTTGGTGCTGGGCCCAGAGCACACCTTGGTCTCATAACAGCCCTGCCCAGCCCAGGGTCACCCGCACCCTGCAGATGCTGGAGCCCAGCTGGAGCCCAGGAAGGAGTCCTGGTGTGCCGGGCACCTGGACAATGTGTGTTCCAGGGAGGGAGAGGTCCCAAGTGCCTTGGGGCTCTGTGAGCCCGGCCTGCTGGGGCCTGTGTCACCCCAGGCCCTTGCTTGGCCAGAAAACAAGAGTATGCCTCTGGAAACGGCAGCCCTGGGGACAACAGTTACACTTGGCTTTTCCAGGAGTGGAGAGACCCTCCAGAGCCCAGCGAGACGTCCCCCTCAGGCATCACACAGAAGGTCGAACCTGGGTGTTGGAGCCAGAGACCAGTCAGGAGTGTGGTGCCTCCTGAGCAAGGCAGCTCATTCACCCGTTCTGATTCCCCAGGCTTAAAGCAGAGGCAAGGAACCACTTGGGGGTCAACAGAGGGTGAAATGAGATGCCCTGGCTAAGTGGGTACAGGTCCAGGCCCCACAGTGGATGGCCAGTGGGCACCATGTAGGGCAGTAAGACTGCTGCTTCCTCCCGTTAGAACCCCGTTCTGCCATCGCCTGGGCCCGGAAACACCATGGGAGTGACTCTGAGCACGTCTCAGTGGGCCCCAGAGGAGAACCTGCCTGGTGGAGCTGGAAGGCCCCGCTGTCCCTTCCTCCTGAGTCCTCCTGAGCCCCACCCGCCCCTCTACCACCAAGGTGGGCACCCGGGCCAGGTTCCTGGGACTACCCCGGTTTACACCTGCGATCACAGTCATCATTAGGAGCACCCTTGTCACCCCCCAGTGTGCCCTGGTCCTGGATGGCAAGCTCCAGGGTCCCTTCTCCACCAGGTGTCTGTCATGGCAAAGTGCCCTTCACACCCTTGCCAGCCACTCCCCGGGCCTGGAGCTTCTGGAAAGCAGAGACCCCACAGAGCCTTCCAGAAAGCCCAGGGGTCCTGCCCCATCCGCCCAGGCCCCCAGCCCCCCAGATGCCTGCTCTGCAGCCCCAGAGCAGATGGCAGACACGTACCTTTTGGAATCCGGTGGGGTCCCCGGGAGAACTCAGCGTCTGTTGTTTTAGGAAGGAGAGGAGAGGGGGAATCAGGTGAGGTGAGCGAAACACAAGTCCCAACAGGGCTGTGCTCGGCTATCTGGGGGGGGGGAGATTGGGGGTAGTGGGGGGCTTCCCTAAGGCGCTGGTCGCCTGCTCGGCCCTGCCACGGGGGATTCTGTTTAATGAGCTTTTTACACACTTGGGCCTGGCCTGCGGGCATGGTCTGGGGAGGCCCTGCCTGGCTGGCCGGGACACTGGCACGTGGCTGGGGCTGGGCTGACACCTAGTGGCAGAAACACCTGCAGAGCAAGGTTTTAGCTTCTAGGGGCCTCAGCTCCCCTCTGGATGCGGACAGGGTCACTCTGGCAGCCATGGCTGTTGCTGAATGGGGTGACGCAGACAAAGCTCCCAGCATGGTAGGCAACCATGAGGCCATTGCCATGGTTACTGGGAGGCCAGCCTCATGGCAAAGGAGGATGGCCAAATGAGATGACCTAAGTCAAGTGTCCCTCCCCGACCCCAGCTGGGACGAGGATGTGCAGGACAGAACACATGCAGGCTATTGGCCCAGTGAGGCTGGGCCCAGCTGCGGTCCCTCCCTGGGTCCCGTCACCTGAGCATCCTCAGCACCTACCAGCAGGTGGCTGGAGTCCTTGAGCTTGGACTTGTACAGCATCCAGCGGTAACGCAGATCCTCCAGCTCGTCCGAGGTGCCCCTTGCTGGCCCAAGACGAAGAAGATTCTCAAATAGATGCTGACCTGTCGGCACTCGAGCCTCTAGCTCCTAGGGGAGAGGGCAGCATCACGGTGAGGCTTCTAATGGCCCAGACAGCCCACCCCCCTGGTAAGGGCAGGCTGATTGAGTTGCCCTCGACAGAGTGGCCCCCGGGGAGGGGAGCACAGAACCAGTAACGTGGGACCCTCACGTGCAAGTGCAAGTCCAGGCCCGGCAACTGCTCTCTGGAATGTTACAGAAAGACCTCCTGTGTGGAAGGGCAGCTGGACTGCCAGCCACTGTGGTCACTTGGCCTGCCATCCTAGGACCAGGTCCTAAAAGGGCTTGTCAGAGGAGTCGCCATCGTTACAAAGGTCACCCCGTCAAACGTGCCTTCCCATCGGCATGATTTCGTTTGGCAGTTGGTGATGGAGGGAGCCAGTTTTTCTATCAAAATTGAGTGCCGAGGACAAACCTCTTCACTCTCAGGACTCCTGAGAGGCCGTGTGATGTGGGGGAGAGACTGGGGCAGGAGCCTGGGTTTAAATCCTGGTTCTGGACCCCGATTGTGCCCCATCTTGTTAGCTATGTATGCGACCATTTGCATCGTTGCTCAGAGCCTGCTAGAATGTGAGTTAGACAAGAGCAAAAGGGTCTCGGGGTGGAACTAAGAGCCATTTCTGATATGGTTGGAGTTGGGGGCGGGGGTGGGAAGTGAGGAGTGGCCAAATCTGAGGTAGGAGGGAAGGGCTTCCTGGTGATGGTCAACTGGATAATTGGGAACAAACCTGCACCGAGGACATGATATTAAAGACATTTTTTTAAACCATCAAAGGCTTAACGAAAGAGTGAGGCACATCAGGTCAAAACTCAGGCAAGGAGGACTGGGGGTGCAGCTCAGGGGTAGAGCCCTGACCCAGCACATTCGAGGCCCCGGGATCAATCCCTAGCACCGCAAGAAACCAGAAACCCAAAACAACACGAAAGAAACTTCAGAGAAGCAAGCCTGTGTGAGGCCTGTGTTCACCCTTAGGATATCCTCCAATCTGGAAGAAACGGCTGTGAAGCAGGTCTGTGGTGTGGCAACCTCCTCACGGGGTAGGGAGGCGGAGGTCAGACTCTGGGCTGCGTGGAGGTGGACAGAACAACTCCCCCTCTAGCTGAGACGCCTACGGGCTTCACCCTCAGGGCAAAGGTGAGCCAGCAGTAAATCTGGGCCTGGTGTAGACTGGACGCCCAGCTCCAGGTCATCTTGTAATCCAGGGACCTGCAAGCCTTGGACTTGGGTTCAGTGGTCCCAGAATGACTCAGCCTCCTTCTCAGCAGGAACGACCACAGAAAAGCCCTCTCTGGAGGAAGAGGGTATCCTAAATCTCAAATTACTCTATCACATATTTTGTCCACCACGACATTCAGCACAGAATACACACAGCCTCACACAGATACAAGGCACTAAGGAGAAGAAGCAGCAGAAGTAAGACACATCAGAACCATTCCTAAGATGCCTTGGGATATTGATGTTATTAGACATATTATAAAACAGCTATGTTTACTGTGTTCAAAGAATTAAAAGACTAGTGTAAACAATTGAGCAAGGATCTGGAAGCTAGCTAGGAAATATGACCCAGCAAATTGTTGAAAGAACCAAAGAGAAGTTCTAGAGTTGATCATTAAAATAACAAAAGTTACACTCAATGGACATGTGTAATAGCTAAAGAGAGAATTAGTAAACTGGAAGACAGGTCAGAAAAAAATATTCAGAATGCAACATGAAGAGACAAAAAGACGGAAAATACACAAGAGAAGCCAAGAGACATGAAGCACAGAGTGAGAAGAAATAATATACGTGTAAATGACATAAGAGAAGGAGAGAAAAAACGCTCCCAAGCAGAGACAATGTTTTAAGAGACAGTGTCAGAGAATATTCCAGAAAGATCTTAAATCATAGAGTCAGGTGTTCAGGTGAATCCTATAAAGGATTAGAAAATAACAAACGTCAGACTCCGGCATGTCATAGTGAGATTTCATAAAAACAAGGAAGAGAAGAGGCAAGCTGGGGTCTGGTGAGAAAGGCCCAGCATGATGACCTTGGGGTCTGAACTTGTTCTGAAATGTTTCCATTAAGTGGACAAGGTCACTCTTGTCCCTGTGGTTCTGGAGGGTCATTCTGGCTGCAGAATGAGCCTTGACCTGGGTAGGGTCCCAACAGGGAGAAGGGAGACCATCTGGGAAGTTAGTTCTACAATCAAGGTGAAAATTACTGCCTAAACCGAGGCACTCGCAGTGGAAACAGAGCCTTCCAAGGAGGCAGACCAAAGAGGATTTGGTAACTGCTAGGGTCTGAATTCTTGTCCCTCCCCAAATTCATGTTGAAACTTAACTGCCAAAGTATCAAGAGAACTGAGAGGTGACTAGGCCATGAGGGGGAGTTAACATCACCCCACTTCCTAGCCTAGGCCTCCGAGGGCATGGCCTGCTCCCACTGTCCCCTCCGACCTGCCTCTGCCATGGGAAGCCCGGGCTGCCCCACGGGAGGATAAGATGTGTGGTCCATGTCACTCTCTTCCCCACCAGCCTGCTGACCTCCAGAATTAGAGGCACTTGGTTGACCTTCATCTGACAGCAGACAGGCAAGGGAGCCCAGCCCTTGGCCTTCTGAATGGGCAGGAGCCAGGCTGAGCTCAGGGTCCGGATATGAGTTAAATACACAGCTGCTGTTTTCAACTGCAAACTGTTGGGGTTGTATGTTACACAGCAGTTACTAACTGATACAGGCGCCTAGAGACAAGGCTGATATTTCCCAAGTAAGGAATAAGAAAAGGAGGCTGAGTGAATGAAAGCAAGGAAAAGCTCTAAAATATTTGAATCCAAAAAGTTTAAGAAGCGTTAGTTCTACACAAGTGAGAACAGCTCACAAATGACTGTCAGTGCTCCCTGTTAGAGCAAACACATCTATGGGAGCAAAGCCCGCGGGCAAGGGGTGGCTTCTTGGGCACAAACCTGCAGCTTCGTCTCTCTGGTCTTCAAGTCCTTGGCGGTGCTGGTTCTCATTGCAATGGTTCGTATGAGCTTGGCGTTTTCTACCTGTAGCCACTGCTCAAAGTTCCTCAGGAGCTGGGGGAAATCTTCATGGCTGCCTCCTTCTTCCTCCAGCAGATGGGCCTGCAGGAACACACAGGGCCAGAGCTGTCGGGGTGAAAGAGGCCCACTGGCCACATGTCCTGGACGCGACTGAGGCAGCGGTGGGGGATGAGGACAGGGAGAGGCCTGAGGGGAGGATCTCTACCCAACATGGCCACATCTAGGTCAGGAGCATGCCTCAGTGTCACCTCTTCGTTCCTAGTGCAAGTCACCGTCACCTCTTACCAGGACAGCTATCCAGCAGTCACCCTTCTACCACTCGTGTACCCTGTGGCTGTGACCTGAGTGATCTGTCTAAAGCACGAGACACTTTCCATATGTGGTGTCGCCTCGTGGCCTGATGTGGCCTGAGAGCCTCGGGCTCTGGCTATTGTGGCCTCCGAAGGTCAAGCTGCTGCTCCTCTCTGAGCCGGAGCCTGCAGGCATGTCTTAGCCCCTGAACCTGGGCTGCCTCCTCTGGGTCTGCGCATGCACGGTGCCCCCTGCCTGGGGTGCCTCTCTCCCTCCTCTCTCACTCCCACTCAGCCTCCAGGGCCCATGCACCCAGGAGGGCTCTCCTGCCCCAGGTCTGGGTCAGGTCCACTCCACCACAAACTCATGGCCCCTCTGCCCATGTCTGCACAGTTTTGTAAGCTCATTTAACTGCCCATGGACCCGTCTTGCTCCTCAAACTGCACTAGAAAGCAGCATGGAGCCTGCTAGAGATGCAGACCGTGGGCCCCAACCAGGCTGCTGGATTAGACCTGCATTATAATCAGGTGCACGTCACAGTCACAAAAACTCTGAGTTGCTTTCTAAGCCAATCCTCGGAACACGGTGGCACTCAATAAATGTGTTTTGGGAGGATGAAGGAAGGAGTGGGAGAACGAATAATTGGATTTTCTTTTTCTTTTTTGGATGGGGTCTCACTGTGTCGGTCTTGCACTCCTGGGCTCAGGGAGTCCCCTACTTCCGCCTCTACCTAGCTGGAGCAGGTGTGATCACTGCACTGGGCTTTGACGGATTGTTCTTGAAAAACAAGGAATAACGTTCTTTTCCACATGGCTCAGTTGTGTAAAGGCAGAAAGAGAAAGTGCTGGTGATACCATGTTACTTCTTTTCAAAAATATACAGCCAGGGCACAAAGATACCCCCTTCTCCTGTGATCTCAGGTCTAAATCCAAGGCCAGAAGGAAGTCTGTGACCTTGTCACTGTCCTCTCTGCCGGGGAACCATCTAGGGATTCAGAGAGGGAAGGACCAGTCCGGCCCAGGGTTGCCCGCCACCTACCTGAGGCCCTCTCTACAGTGGGCACCCCTGCTCTTGGGGCCACACAGGGACAAGTGAGATGGGGCATGACCAAGGCCTGGGAGCTGGGACCAAAGCCACCCCACCCAGCACTTGGCCCTTCTCCCTGCTAGACACACTCACCCCACGACGATGCCTGGGAACAGGGTCCGTGGGGTTGATGAGATACCCAGACTTCGGGATGTTGTTGCTGAAGACCAGCTTCTTCCCAGTGTCCACCTCTGTACTCTGCAGCTGCTGGCTTCTGATGAGGCTGGGAAGACAAACAACCCCTCAAGGTGGTGACGTGATGGGGACCCATCGGGGCACTGGAGAAGTAACAGCCCTGGGCCTCAAGGGTGGCAGGACACTTCTGGGTTTCCCATCAACGATGAGCCAGCAGCCATCCTTCAGGTGTGGCAGATGCTCCTGAGTCTCCCACGTGTCCCGTCTCTTAGTTGCAACCCCCCCTCCCCGGTCACACAGGTGCACATGCTCAGGACACAGATAGGAAACTGAGGCTCACACCAGAGCGGGCTGGAGGCCGACCCCCAGCCAGGGACATCTCAGCTCCCCTGCCCCTGCCAGAATCACCAGGGGTCCCAGGTGTGGGGGGGTGGGCAGGTCCCTGGCATGATGCCTGGCTCAGAGCCCAGGCATCTGCTCGGAGCTCTTCCTGGTGGCAAGGGGGCACTGTCCCAGACAAGGCTCAGAGCCAGCGAGGGCCTCTCACCTCAGTAGGTGCTCCTCCAGCAGCCTCAGGGCCCGCCAAGCCTCCGCCAGCTCCCGCAGCTCCACCTGGACCAAGGCCGCCCCCTCAGGAGAAGACTTCTCCATCACCAGCTGGCCGTGCGCCTCCACCAGGGGCAGCTGGGCCTCCTTCTCAGGAAGGTCAGCCAGCAGCCTCTGGAGGACACGGGGGACACACACACAGTGAGGTCCTTCTTGGGGAGGTCTCTGCTTCCCACTGTGGGGGCTTCAGCCAGAGAGGCTGCCTTTGGGGACGCAGGTGAGGAAGTCACCCCCTTACCTCCACCTCGGCCTCTCGGGACGCAGCATCCCACGGGCCCACGTCCCGCTGATGTGACTCCAGCAGCTGTGTGACCACAGTGACCCACTGCCGCAGCTCCTGCAGCTGGTGGCTGAAGGTGCAGTGCTCCCGCACGCTCTGCCGACACCTGTCCACAAGGTCCTGCAGCACAGCCGGAGGCCAGGGCACTGAGCGCTGGGCCAGGCAGAGACCAGGCACACCCCAACCCTGCAGGACCCCAGACCGCCTGGGCCCTGGCTCCTCCCACAGCCAGACAGACACCACAGGCTGGTCCTCCCTCGGCACAGCACAAGGACCCCCAAAGATCAAGTCTGGTTCAAAACGCCTCCCGGCCTGTCTCCTATAGAAACAGCCAAGGGCAGGTGGGGCTGGTGTGAATGGGCACAAGCACTTTTGCTCAAAGGAGTGTTCTGGAGCAGCAAGAATGGGCACGCTGCACCAGGGCAACCTTACGGATGAACCTACAACCACGCTGTCGGGGGGCTAGCACACACACAGTATGAGCATCTGTGTGGTTCCGTCAGGCAAGCCTAACTGACGCTGGGTCCAGTCTGAGGTCAGGAGCTGGCAGTGACTGGCGGGCGTGAGGGAGGCTGGCGTTGCTCTGGGTTCTTTCTGGGTGCTGCTGAATCAGGTCCGTTTAATTTAAGATTCCGCCGAGGTGCCCCGTAAGACATTCACTTTTCTGGATAGGACTGAACTTCAACAACAGGTTTTCAAACAGTCTTGCTTTTTTCTCCTTCCTGAGGCCTGTTTCCTGGGAAACTCAGGCCTCGGTGGCTGGAACCTTGTTCTTCTCTGTCTCCAGGAAAGATGGCACTGAACACAGAAGGATGGCCATTTTCCATGCTCCTGGTCACCCTGCCTGGGACCCTTTGAGCACCTTCTTCATCTCACTATGAGCCAGTCAGACTCCGGGGCCTACTGTCCCCTTTCCTGCTGTGTCTCCCAGCTTAGGGTCTCATTACGTTGGGCCACCAAAGGCCCTGCCTTCCTGCGTTCCACAAACGCGGGCTGGCCCTGCAGGGTTCCAGGACCATGCCAGGGGATGGGGACCCAGAGAGGGGCTGGGCATTCCGTGGGCCTCCAGGGGGTGTGGAGCCTCTGTCCTTGAGGTCCATCAGCAAGGGCGAAATGTTACCTAAAACCCCACTTCTCCTAGTTCTCACCACCAAATGCCTTCAATGGCTCCCTACTGCATAGAGCTGGGACCTACCCCTGGGAGACGGGAAGATCACTGTCTGTGGGGGGAGGCCACTTTAAAACTCACTAGACTTAACAAGCACTGAACATCCAAATAACAGGAGGGGCGGTTTCCCCTTAAATGACTATGTAAACTGTAAATAAAGAAACTCGGTGGAATTGGACTGTCGCAGTCTGCAGTCCCTAGCTCCTGACTTCTGATCAACCTCGCTCACCGACTGGATGTGGGTACCGGAGCTGACTTCGGCTGCGGGATGGTTTCCTGTCTCTCGACGCCCCCTCCCTTGACCTTGAGACCACAAGCTGCTCCTGGGTTAGGCAGATTCCATGCGTCACCTGCACCGTGGGTCTCTATAGGTGGTGCTGTGCTCCCTGGAGACCCCTGGAGTGTCTGGCTCAATGCAGATGCCGACCTCTCCAGGGACATGTCCCTGGTGTAAAAGGATGGGACACTGCACTTTGGCTTGACCACGTTTTATCACATTCCAGAAAACCGCATCACAGGAGGCCGAGCAGGCACCACCACGGATGGGGCACCTGTGGCCGTGACCTGGAGGGAGCGTTTACGGACCATCTCCCCGTGTCTTGATGTAGCCACCTGGGAGCATTTAAGCATCAAAGGACACTATTTGATTATAACTATATTAAAAAAGATCTCTCTTATATTCTAGAAAGTTCTAAATTGTCTGTGAGGGGAACTCACATTATCTATGGGCTGGAGGTTGTAAAGAGGGCATTGAGCAGGGTGGGGTGGACAGGAGAACCTGCCTCACACTGTTTTCTTGAGATGTGGCTGTCGGACACCAGCTCGCGGCCTTGGGACTCGACACAAAGGCAGACCCAGGCCTCCACCTGAAGGAATCAGCGCCCAAGTGGGGCTGGAGTCTGAGTTTCCACTTGTCCATTGGGGCCAGTTTGGAAGGAGTCTCGCCTGCGCCACACACGCAAGTGTCCAGGCGGCCACTAGAGGGCACTGCAGACAAGGTTCTGCGGCCCCCCGGGCTCAGGGCTCCCTTTGCAAAGGCCTCTGCGCGCAGGCTGCTGGGGTCGCAGCAGCTCTTCCCCCTCGTGGCCCTTGGCTCAATACCGAGTGGAGCCTTTACTTGCTTCTTGCTGATTCATCTGCATCTACCCAATTAGAACGACTAGAACGTCATCCCCAAGGGAGACGATGCCTTGGCCCTCTCCTTCGGGCTGCTGCATTCGCAGGCCTAGTGCAGCGCCCCCGTGCGGAGGCCTCAGTACTCACCTGTCCCAGGAAGCAGGGAGGACGGAAGGAAAGAGGGAGAAAGGCCCCCAAGAGCCCAGGATTCTTGGTTGCCACTCAGCCTCCTCTGACGGCCTTACCTCCAGGGGCCTCTGCAGGGCCTGGTGGTCAGAAGTAAGCTGGTCCATCTTGTGCTGGTGGTTGGGATTCCCCTGGACAAGAGGCTGCATGGCTTCCATCTGCAGGCCTAGCTCCAGCCCCTCTTCCTGCAGCCCCTGCCGTGGAGAAGCCGGGGCTGAGCCTCCTCCCTGCCCCTCACTGTTGAGGCTGATCAGGGCGGAGGTGGGGGTCAGCTCGGAGGGAGGGAGGGCCTGGGGTGGGGGCTGTCCAGGATACAGGGCTCCCCACACCAGCAGATGCACCACGTCAGGTCTGGTCTCATAGGCCCAGCTCAGGGCTGATGAAAGATTTAAATGACCAAAACATTCTGGGACATCATGAAAATAAACTCAGTAAAAGACCAGAGGACATCATGGGGGACAAGATCACTTGGACTTTCACTTGATGGCCACCTCTCCTTACGAAGAACCACACCCCGATTTCAGGTTTCGAGACTCAAACGCACCGTGCGTAATATCTTGCAGAGAACTCTCACTCTATATATGAGCTGTCCTTGGGTTCTAAAGATGATCTTTGGATCACATGCATTTTCAAAACCAGCAAGCTCCTTATCCAGCCAACCAACCGTTATCAACGATCAGCGTGTGGGTTAGAATGCATACTCTCAATCTCAGGATTGTGTTAGTTAACTGAAGGCCTCTGGACCCATTAGGGATAGTTAGCAATGCAAATTTAAAAACAAATACCAATGTTAGGCTTTGGAACTGAGAGATAAATAATTATGATTTTGTTAGGCTTCAGAATCTGCAGTTTGAAGGTGCTAAAGGCCCTGCTGAGGCCAGGAACCATCAGATAAATAAAAGGCCCTATTGAGGCCAGGAACCATCAGATAAAGAAGCAGAAATTAATTCCATTAAGACAAAAAGTCAGATCTCAAGTAAGGTGTAAATCTCTGGCTCAAGCTGGCTCTGGCTTTGCTGGTTACTAGAAGAGGAGGAACTGCTTTTATGCACAAAAAAGTCAACCCTGTGAGGGTTGACTTGGCCCTACAGACCCCTTACCTGCAACCTCAAGAGCTGGGCCTGTTTTCCAGGAAGGTCCCGTTGAAGCCCTTTCTCGGCTTGGATTCTAACTTGGAGGTCTAAGAGCTTCCTCTGTAGGGGTTCAAAAGCAGCCCCAAAGTCCTTGTGCTGATCAAGCAAACTCTGCAGAGACAGAATGGGCAGCTGCGAATTAAGAGCTTTCCTCAGGGGCACCTTGTTATAGACCTGGCACCCAAAGAAGGCCTGGCTCCTCCTCAGCACATTCTTGCTCCAGAAAACCTTCTTGGAGCCTTGCTGGGGTTGGGTGCCTCTTCTTAGGGTCCCCGTGATGTCCTTGCATAACACTTTGGCCACGTCCCTCTAGAACAGGGGCTGGGAAACCCCTCCCCAAATCCCACCAGAGGCTGTTTACGTCGGCAAAGTGCTGCTGGACACAGCCGCATCCCTTTATTTACCACTGAGGCCCCGGGAAGCCCACCCTGCATATGCTGACCAGGTCGCCACTGGCTCACAGACAGCCTTTGGACAGACATCTCCTGGGGATCGTCCATTTGTTGGTTTCCATCACCAAGTTGTGAATGTTTGGGGATGAACTCTCGGCTTCCTTTCTTTGTCTCCCCAGCTCCTAAAACCCTGCCTGGCCCTACTAATGGAGGCAGAGAACACAGGAGGTGAGATAGCAGGCCTGGGGTCAGGCCGCGTGGGGTATGTCCTGGCCCTGCCACCCTGGCCAAGAGCCACCACTGAGTTTCCTCATCGGTAAAACAGGGGGAAGAACAGCAGGTCCTCGTGGGTACCGTGGGTTAGATAAGATCAGGGGGTGACGCTCTGAGCAGGTGCCCGGCCACAGACACTGCCCCGCGCCTCGGAGCTGCTTTCGTCCTGTAGAAGGGGACAGTCAGCGTGTCACTAGTGACACCAGCCTCCAGCGCCATGGTGGCTTAACGTTTCCAAGTGCTCTCACCTGCGCTGGTCCCGCCACCAGCTCTCTGTGGTATAAGATAGTTCACTCTGATTGCAGTGTAGGGAGGGGACAGACAGGTGGCTAGGGAACCAGTTAGAGGGATCCTGGGAGAATCCTACCCCGTTTATGCAGGAGGAGCCTGAGAGGGAGAGGGACAGAAGGATTCACCCAGGCCACAGCGGCGAGCTTGGAACACCGTGAGGGCCACTCCCGCCTGGCCAGGCCCAGTGCCGAGACGCCGCCGGCCCTCACCTGCAGCTTGCTCTTCCTCTGCAGGAGGCTGTTATGCAGCAGGTCCCTGTCCCTCACGGAACTCGCCACCTGCTCCAGGAGGGCGCTGGCTCGCTCTGGGCCAAAGATGCTGCTCAGCAGGTCCGTCTTCAGCTGCAGCATCGCCAGCTGCTCTTTGAGGCGGGAGCTTTCCGCCAGGGCCGCCTGCGAGTGACAGGACCCCCGTGAAGCTCAGCAGAGGGTCAGGAGCACCCGGTCCTGGCGCTGCCCAGAAGGAAGGGGCGCCTCTGTGCAGGTGTCCCGGAGGCAGAGACCCAAACAGAAGGCAGAACTTCAGGGTCAAGTCCGAGTCTTCTCCCAACCACCCCACACCACCCACCTGTCACCAAAGCCGAGTGATAGTTCCTCCTTCTCCCCATCTCAGAAATCTGCCACCGAGGGCCGCACACCTGGACCATGTGGCTCCCACCTGCCTGTGGCCTCCCAGTGGGCGCCGGGACTTCCCCGAACCAGCCTGACCTCTAGACAGAGGGCCTCCCCCAGCAGTGTTGTGAGGGGCCATGACATGGGAAGGCAGGAGGCTGTCCGGGGGGGTCGCTCCTCGGTGGACTTCTGATGTGCAGGGGACCAGGCAGAGAGGGGACCTGAGGGGACTTGGAAGCCACCTCAGAGGATGGCAGCTGGCCTCCAGGACACCTGCACCCTGCACGGCCAGGCCCTGCCTGCTCCAGGAGGCCTGCCCTGACCATGCGCCCGGGAGTTCTGGAAGCCAGAGGTCCCCGTGTTATACCTGGTGATGTTACTGACACCCCCTCCCGGACCTGAGACCTTGAGCGAGGTGTGGGGTTGGGGCTGGACCAAGCCCTCAGGCCAGATTGGCAGGTGCAATTCCAAGGTGGAAGCGCTGGGGTGGTCAGTGCTGGCTGGGGACATCAGAGAGGGCTCCTTGGAGGAGCAGGTGCTGATGTCAGCCCCAAAGGCAGCAGGCTGGCAAGAGAAGAGGGACTCAGCCACGCTGGCACGACCTGCAGATGAGGGCACCTGGCCTGTGGCAAGCCTCACAAGGCTGCCCAGCAACACAGCCACGCCCCTGTGTTCACTGCGTCCAGAGGCTGCGTGGCAGGTGTTAAGGGCACCTGAGTTTGCCCACTGGGAGGCTGTGGGCAGTTCTGAGCCTCCCTTTGCTCTTTTGTAGAACCTGCAGGGACGCGCCCCGTCCTGGGGCTGGGACGGGGCTGGAAGGAGCCTTTGGGTGCCCCACACGCAGAGCACACAGAAGCTCAGCTCTCCCCGGCTCCCGTCACTGACCAGCTGGGATGCGCCCCGTTGTGTCTCCCCAAAAAAGATGCAGTAAAGTCTGAGTGTTCCCCTCAGTCCCTCGGAATGTGATCTCAGCTTAAAATGGGGTCTGTACAGAGTTAAGATAAGGTCCTTAGGGTGGGCTGTCACCCAGGGTGGCCAGGGTCTCGTACCAAGGGGAGCTTTGAACGTGGACATTCGCAGAAGGAAGGTGGGGAGGGGGTGGCCGTGTGTCAGTGGGCGGAGATCGGGAGACTGTCTCTACCAGCCAAAGGACGTCAGGGATCTCAGGCAGGGAAGGAGCCTCCTCAGAGGCTTCAGGGGGAGCAAGGCCCAGCCTACCCTTGTTCTGGGTCTGGTGCTTCATGACAGTCCTCAGGAAGCCACTTCACCAGCCAGAAACCCGCAGATGCGCAGGACACTCTCAGGCTAAAGCCAGAAGCTGAACCAGGACAGCTGAAGCTGGCCACTCAAGCCACACCTGCTAAAGGAACCCCTCCCTCCAGGGGGTGGCACGGGGGGTGGGGGCACATGGAAGGCACCAAACAGAACTCCCGAGCTCCTGGCTCCCCCTGCTCCCACCAGTGGACCTGGGCTGGGAGTCCTGGGTCACCCTGGAGAGACTCCACTTGTGCCCCCTGCCTGGCAGAGGCCCTGTTTGCTTTCTACCCTGGTGGAAGGAGGAGGTGGAGACGGGATCCTGGCAGAGCAGGAGAGCGCTGGGCAGAGTCGGCAGCCTGAGGCGGGGCCTGGCCCTGTCCAGTGAGTGTCTGAGACCTTGAGCAAGGGGCTGCCCTCTCCGGGACCTGGCTCCCCTAAACAGCCCAGCAACAATAATACAATCAGTTCTTCCACCTCACAGAGATGTTTCTAGAACCTGGGTGAAAACAGACGAGGACATCAGACAGGAGCCCCGTGCCCACTGCTCCCGCCCAGCCCGGCCTCCCTGGAGAGGCCTGACCTTGGCCTCCACGGAGCAGCCTGACGGGAACAGCTCTCTAACCTCTCCCTGGCTCCAGCCAATCTCTCCTCTGCAAAATGAGATGCATAATGGTAAAAATAGAAACACATTTTATACGTGAATATCCAACACATACTAATTATGACAACGAGGCTTTGGGAGCAGCCTAACTCTCTAATGGTGGATGTGTAAAAATCACGAGTATTTCCAAAGTGGAAAGTCTCACGGCTGCTGCAGAAGATCACTTTTATTTGAACTGTTTTAAATGTTGCTGAGAAAAAAAAACGAATGTGTGCAGTGAGAATACCAGAGACACGGGCCCAACTACACAAAAATTGTAATTAATTAGTTAAACTTTCTGCCTATCGGGGATCATGTCCCATGGAAAAATCTAGATGGATCCCACCAGATTTACCCAGCACCAAGGTTTATGGTGCACAAGAAATTCACTGACGAGTATCTCAGAAAGATGACCACGGAGCCCTTGGAAGGAAGGGCCGTGCTCTGTACTCAAAAACTAGGGAGACAGAAAACAGAGTTGTGTGGCAACAGGAGCCCCAAATGGAAAGTCCTCTGGAGCTCCACGACGTGGGCCGTGGTCTAGGGTCAAGAAACGCCCTCCAGGGCGGATACCTAGAGGGACGGGAAAAGTGCTAGAGATAGTGTCCCCACAGGTCAACGGTGGCGCTGCGGCCTGTGGCCTCCTGTTCTCTGGCAGGTAGGCCTTCTACAGTCAGAAGGAACAGAGTGTAAAAAGGAGGCCGACACCCGCCACATCTTTGTGTCCCTTTCCAGTCTACCGGTCTACGACTGGGGACAAAAGCATTCCGTGGACTTCAGAGCTCAGTGACGGCAGAGAGCAGTGTTGACAGGTGACCCTCTGTCTCTGGTGGACAGCACTGACCGTGGCAGCCGCTGCCGGCTGCTCACCCCACGGCCTTTCCTCCTCCCTCACCCAGGAGCCGGCATGTTGGCTGGGTGACCAAGTGCCCACCTGGATGCCCGGGTTATTGGGACCATGGCCACAGGCCAGTCCCAGGGATCCCATCATCCTCAGCCAGTGATTGGTCCAGGGATGGTCATGTGACTTTGAGGGACCAGTGAGATGTGAGAGAAGCTGCTGGAGCTCCTGGGATGGGCCTCCCTGTAGATAGTGAAGTGGTGACGGAAGGAGCCCTGGGCCCCCACAGTTCCCTCCTGCAACAGGTGTTGCTTGTGGGGGATGCGTGTTGGGGTGGTGGCAGCCATTTTGGAGCCAGAAGGAGAAACACGACCAGGAGCTAGGTAGAGCCTGGGTCCTTGATGACACTCAGTCCTAAAATCAGCCTGTGTTTTAACTGCCACTGGGCAGGTTTTGTCACTTGTAGCCACAGTGAAGGCAATGGCCTGACAACGCTGCTTTCTCACAGAACGGCTAATGTTCCACAGAGGATGGCCTATGGAGGGGTCCAGAAGGAAAGGGGAGCTACCTCTGGGTGGGAGAGGGTCAGTGGGGCATCCTGGGGTCATCCCAGGCTTCGCCTCCTACCCAAGTTTGAGGATGACCTGAATCACAGATGACAACATGACAGTCCCTGTGCACTAGGTCTTGCCCAAGCAGTGAGCTGGAGCCCGTGTCTGTGGGGCCAGGGACACACCCGTCCCCAGGACGGTGGCTGACGCGCCCCACGCTCAGCCAGCAGCCTCCCAGCCACAGAAGCCGGCCCTCCTGGCGCAGTTACCTCGATCTGGGGCAGGAAGGTGTGGATGGAGGGCAGGTCTGGCAGGCTGGCGGTGACCCCCAGGAGCCGCTGGGCCAGGGCCCTCCACAGCTGCAGGCCCTGCAGGGGACGCTGGAAGCCCTGCCACAGCTCCACCCCCGTGGCGTTGCGGAGCTTGGTGCTCTTCCCCTTCATGCTGCGAGGACCAAGAAAGAGAAAGCGGGGTCAGCTCCGGGTGAGGCCCCGCCGGACCCCCAGGAAGCCCAGGAGCACTGGCTCAGGGTGGGCCCTCTCCCTCCCGCGGGCTGCAGGGAGCGTCTGCAGCAATGGGCACGAGGTACAGGGGAAGGGACTCTGGGTAACGTGGAAAGGCCTCAGCCATGTGCTCAGGTCTTCCTGGGCACAGACCCCAGGGCTCCCGGGGCCTCGGCAATTGTATATAAATAAGGCGTGTGAGCGTCCTCCGAGTCCAGAGGAGGGGTGGACGACCGGGAGTCTCAGGTCTGGCAGACGAGTCTGCGATCTAGTTGGCTCATCCTTGAGCCTCAGTTTCTTCACCTGACAAATGGGGAACACGGTGCCCCCAAAACACTTGTGAGTGCTAACTGAGATGATACAGAGACGTCTCCTGGGAAGAGAGGCCTGGCCCTCCCACTGAGGATAAACCAATAACAGCAAAAGCTTGGTCTAGTTTTAAAAATGAGCAAAAAACAGGAATGGGGGTTTAGCGTCCAGGGCTCCTTTGACCCCGAGGGCTTTGCCCATCTGTAATAAAATGGCTGCAAAATTGAGCTGGGCTTTTGACACTCCCCCAAAGAGTGGGGAGTAAAGTCCACCAAGGGCGGCAGGTTCTGAAAACCTCACCCACCCTAGAGCTGGGCCTCAAGGTCCACGCTGTCAGGACAAGAGGGCACAGCAGGCAAGCCAGCAGCCAACCTCCTGGCCAGGGGACTGCAAGCCGAAAGGTAAACCGTGAAGACCTGAGACGGGCACTGGCCCAGCAGAGGCAATCAGAACCCTCTGTTAACAGTCCAGCACCCCAGGCCCAGCTCATTTCTGGGAGCACGTTTTCAAATCCAAGGTCCAGCTCCCAGACAGAGAGGTGCAGCCCTGGAAAGCTCAAGGACAGAAAGCAGACGCAGAGGAAGTCCCTCGGCCACTCTGACCCTCGGCATAAACCCACCCCCCCACCCTGGAGCACCTCACAGAGGACCCAGGCCGTGATCTTGATTCTAGAGAGGGGGACCTGAGCACAGCTGTGGGAGGAGAGACACCGCAAGCTGGACCCCTGCTCTGCCTCTGAGGGAGCCCGTACCCAGCAGAGGTGTGCGGCCGCTGTGCTGTGTTAGCACGTCTCGGGGGAAAAGAGGGCCACATCCCACATTTCCACGCTGCTTCAGGCCTCAGAGGGAAGCCATTTCCACTCCAGGCTCTGCCCACCGGCTAAGGGGACAGGCAGAGGCTGGTCTGAAGATGCTCTTGAGGTCCCAGAGGGGCCAGAGGCAGGGGACTGCTGTTGACCTATTGAGTAGCCCTCCCTTGGGCCACTGCGTGGTGAACCCTTCCCGATGTTAACTGGCGTGAAGAGACTTGACGGAATGGGCGCCTGGGCTGCCCACCAAGGACAGAAACAAAGTCCAGGCCTCTTTTAGGAGCGAAACCCAGAACAGACCTAGAGGGCCCAGCGCCTGAGCTGAGGGAGGACCCGCAGCAGCTGGTCACTCAGTGGGAGGCAGGTGCACCACAGCCCTGCCACCCTGGGCTCCCCGGGTACCTCTGGTACTCCTGGATGGCGGCCACCACGCTGTCGGAGAGCGGCTGCAGGTCGGGGAAGGCCACGAGGTCCTTCAGCTGGGCCTGTAGCCAGGCCACCCGGGGCTCCTCGGAGGCCAGCGCTGCCCGTGTTGCCTGCAGGACAGGATGACACCCCAGGGTGGATGAGGCTCCTCAAGGGGATGGCCACAGGTCGCAGGGGGCTGAGCACAGGCCAGTGAGTGGTGCCAGATTGGAGGAGCCTGTCACCGAGGGCAGGGGCTGGGGCCTGTCAGCTCATTCCTAGGGCTGGCCTTTCCTCTCTGAGCTGCAGTTCTTACTGTCACCTGCCTCTGAACATTGTGGTGGCAGTGCCAGCTCCTCATGCACAAACACCCAGGGCAGAGGGCACGCCGTCCCCTGCAGAGCGCCCCAGGTGCCCCATCCACCCAAGCCTCACCACCAGCCTGGAGAGAGGCTGTCCCATGTTCTACACAAGGACACTCGGGCTTAGCGGTTTGGACGGTTGTGAAACCTGCAAACTGTGTGCCTAATGGCTGGGCCACTTCATCAGCACAAAATGGAGCGTGCACCACAGGGTGCTCTGTGAATCTCTACTTCTATGGACGGACCACCTGAAAGTGCGTGTGGTGACCACGCTCAAATCGCTTCACCTCACTGTGATCAGCCCCTCCAGAGGCTGCCTTTTCCTGCTGGCTGGGGACACTGGAATTTGACCTTGACCTACAGAACTCAAGCCCCTCTGGGCTCCTGCTCAGGAGGAGGCAGGGTGGGGTGGTAGAGAGCACTTTGGGGCTCGGGAGCAACTCAGGGCAGGCCTGAAAACTGTCCCATAGGATACAAGGGGCATGCTCCCACCAGCCACAGGGGACAGTGGTACTGACCAGGCAGGCACTCAGGGCAAATCAGGGGCCCAGGGCGGCTGCCACCCAGGCTCCCAGAGGCAGCCCTGTGCTTCTGCCCTCCTGAGCTGACCTCAGAACCTCCTTGCACAGGGATGGACCCACGGGCAGCCCCAGTTAGGCTTAGTCACAGGGAATCCTCGGGAACAGGATCAAAGGAAGGAAGCTCTGGGAGGGATTCTAGGAGACGCTCGGGTGATATGGGCCACTAGTGGGCAGCGGGGCTAGTGGGGAGCCTGCCTTTGTGGCAGATGCAATTCCAAAGGCTCTGTCATTTCCCCCAGTTCACAGGCAACCGAGGCTAAAGCAATTCTCCCAAAGCCATCCCAAAAGCGAGGGGAGGAAGCAGGGCTGATCCCAGGAGGTCTGGCCCCAGAGTCTCCCGGCCCTAACCCTGGGCCACAGCACCTTCTGCTCACGCGGAGGGGAAACAGTTCCCTTGCAGGAAGATGATCGCTGCAGTGTCCTGGTCTGCCACAGGACTGAATCTCAAGAAAACCGAAAGAGTGCATGCCCTTGGTCACTGCCTGCTACTACCTCCAAAAATATTTTTGTCTATGGGCAAAGATTAGAAGGAGAGGAGGCCGATGCATTTGGAAGATGCTGTGGATCTTGAGGAGATGAGACCAGGAAATCCCTAGGTCCTTGGGGGAAGCGGCGTGCCCTTGGGGAGGACTCTGGGGCCCCAGTCTCTTCCTCTTCCTGACTCATGAGATGAGCTCTTGGTATGAGCCAGGGGTTCACAGAAATGGGGCCACTAGATCATGGACTGGAGCCTTCAGAACCATGAACCAAAGCAAACCTTTTTATAAGTGAATTGCCTCAGGTATTCTGTGATATGACAGGATGGTGACTAACACATCTCCTGAGTGTATAGGAGCAGGGTGTCCTCTGATTGGGTCTGGAGTCCACCCCACCATCCTCCATTTGGCCTCCCCAGACTCCCCCACTGCTGTGTCTGTCACTCGTCATGTCTCCATTACAAGCTTTTCTTTCTGTTGTAACAGCCTGTTCTCTACTGAGATGTCCACCCCAAGCCCACCAAGGGAGGGCTCTGAGGCCCTGTCTACCTCTGGTGTTTACTCTCTAGCTCACCATGTGACCTTGGGAATGGTGGGGAGGGGTGGATTCTCTCTGGGCTTCAGTTTCCTCATCTGGAAAATGGGGGTGAACACCCATTTGTCCTCTACCCCTCCAGGAAGGTACCAGAGACCCAGGAAGCCAAAGGGAGTGTGCGTAAGGCTTGGTGGCTTTTCTGTCCCACGGAGGAGCTCCGAGTGGCGACCCCCAGGCTCACACACCTGGACCGCTCCAGGGCTTGGCCAAACACCACTCACCGAGTACAGCCTCCAGCGGGCCACCAGCTCGTCCTCGGTCCCTGCCTCCTTCCCCGCAGGCTCCAGGCCCTCCTGGGCCAGCCTCTGAAGTCCCTTCTTGAACTCTCCAAGCTCGGCCTCCAGCAGCCCAATCTGCCGCTCACAGGCCCCCCTGGACGAGAGCAGTCCCTGCAGCCGCTCCTCCTCCTCCTCCCAGAGGCCGCGCAGCTTCTCCAGGACCTTCCGCATCTCCTCCAGTTCTTCCAAGATCTTCTCCGCACCCAGAGGAGAGGTGTTCTGAATGACGCCCTCGGACTGCTCCTGCAGCCTCCTCAGAGACTCCTCGCCCCGGGGGAAATCCTTGGCGATGTCCTGAAGCGGGAAGGGCAGGGGGAAAGCAGACCTGGGATGCCACGCGGGCACTCATCCCTGGATTCCTGGGTTCGGGCTGCCCAGGTGGACTCTGCCCCAGGATGGGCGGCAGGGTGAGGACCTGATTCCCTCCCAAGCCCTTCTCAAGCCTTTGATTAGGTCAAGGAGAAAGTCGGTTGGGTGGGTGCTTCTCTGACTTAGCACTTTGGGGCACTGGTCCATCTTTTTAAGGCACAGAGCCATTGACAGACAGCACTGTGGGGACAGAGAGAACCACTCATTTTCACTGTGTTGATATAATGAATGGTGCTGGGTTTCCATTTATGACAATGTGTTTTTTTTTCTGAATAACTTTCATCAACATTTTAAAAGGTGAGTCCATTAAATACAAATACAAATACGAAACACACCCATCAGGTGCCACATGGCTCTTGAATTATTGAGGATGACCTGCCCACTCACTTAGCAGAGGGAGCCGGGGTCTCTCCAGGGACATGCAGTCACAAAGGCCAGCGTCTCTGGACTGAGGGACCAAGGTCCACCCAGGGCTCTTCACCTGGGCACTACTGACATGAGTGGCTGGGTCATCCCCTGCTGCAGAGCTGTCCTGGTCATTGGAGGGTGTTTAGCAGCATCCCTGATCTCAGCTCACCCACCCCCAGTTGTGACAAATAAAAATGTGTCTGGACATTGCCACATGCCTGCCTTCAAACCCACGGGTCTAGACCACGCTGCTGTGGTCCTGCGTGTCCAAAAATGGCCCCTGGCTCCCGGACTTCTGTGAAGCAGCCAGACCCCCAGCGTTTTGCGCTGGATGCCTTGCTCCCACTCAGGGCAGGCAGGCTCTGTGCCCAGGCGCTGCCCTGTTAACTGTAACTCAGAACCTGCCGCCGGGGGGCGCTCCCTCCGAGGCGTCCGGGGCCTCGGGCTGGGACGTACCTGCAGCGCTGAGAGGCGGAGCGTGGTCGGCAACGCGCAGCCCCGCCCCATGCAGCCGTGCACCTTCTCCACCACGGCCCTCAGCCACAGCTGGAACTCCTCCACGGTCGCCTGGTACTGCTGGTGCTCCTGGGCCACCCGCTCCAGCACGTGCACCCGGTCCTGCGGGAGGGGGGAACCTGCTGTGAGGGGCCCCCGTCTGGCTGTCCCTGCCTTTAACTCTAGTGCTGGTGTTCTTTGCTGCTGTGTCCTAGGAATGGCACTCAACACCTGGGGCTTGGTGACAACAAGGACAACACTCCCCTGGAACACTGTCCCTTCCAGGGCTCAGCACCATGGTGACCCGCTAAGAGCTTCACATACTCAAGCTCCTTGAACTCTCCTGGCGTCACCATGGTGCTCAGCACTGGAAGGGACAGTGTTCCGGGGGAGTGATGTCCTTGTGATTATTCAGCACTGGAAGGGACAGTGTTCCGGGGGAGTGATGTCCTTGTGATTATTAAGCACTGGAAGGGACAGTGTTCCCGGGGAGTGATGTCCTTGTGATCATTCAGGTTTGACAGATGAGGACATTGAGCCTCAGAGAGGTGAAAGGACTTGCCCAAGGTCGCCAGGCTCAGACAGTGGGAAGGCAAACCTGGTGGCAACACAGGGCCAACAGGCAGTTCTAGCCCAATACACCATGTCTTCAGGGTATGCCACAAATGCAGGCTGCCCCCTTCTCCATGGGCTAGAATCTGACCTTCAGCCAGTCCCACTGAAGGTCTAACGCCCCAGAGGCAGGATAGTTGATACTTGGGGAAATGACAGTATCCCTGCTGTGAGACCTACTGTGCTCTTAGAGACTGTTCTTTAGACATTCCCTGATCACAGTGCTGTCTCCTTAAGCCCCTCGATGGCTCTCTACTGTCCCAGGCTTAAATGCAAGTTATAAATTCTGGCATCCCAAGACAGGTCCTTGGCATGAGGCTCTGTGGTCCAGTGGTCAAGGCCCTGGGCCAGGGAGCCCACTGCCTGTGGCTGGAACCTTGGCATGTAATGGACTGCTCTCTGCCCAAGTCTCTTCCTTCCTAACAACCCTATTGGGGTGCAGGGAGATGAAATGAGCCAGGGCTTGTGCCACTCTAAGGACAGTGCCCATCAGCGAGGAAGCACTTGGTAACCATGAGTCATAGTTTACTATCCCCTGCTTCCCAGGGCTTCTTCTGGCACAGTACACAGCACCACCTGGCAGAGCTGACCCCAGGGCCCTGCCTTCTTTCTCTGAAGCTCTGCCCACTACCCTGGGAGCCCGGGGTATTTCCAAAACACGAGGATGCAACTCTAGCCCAGCACCCCTCCATCAGGTTCTACCTTCAGGGGGACCAGGAGATCACTACAGACAACGCTGCCCCACTATGTCATCTAGCTCAGGGCCGGCTCTAGGTGTGCCTCCTGACAGGAAGAGCAGACCCTGGGTGTCAGCCATCAAAGGGACTTTCCAGGGACCGTCAAGAGAAGGGAAAAGACAGCGGCTCGTTTCACAGTGTGACTGGAACTTACGCATTATCTTCTTTAACATGATGCCACAAAACCTCTCTCCTGCCACTGTCCAAACTAGAGTCGGGAGGTCACGCAACTCTTGACAGAATCAAGATTCAAGCCTCAAGTGTCAGACCCCAAATCACTGCTCGCGTGAGGCCTGGCAGACTTTCTATCAAGGGCTGCACGGCATGGGGTCTAGCTTTGCCCTCCGCCTGATTTCTGTTGCAATCCGCCAGCCACATAACGGCCACTTCTGTTGTAGGACAAGAGCACTCTTAGCCAGCGTGTCAAGGATGACATGTTCCAACACAGCTTTCATTTTGGATAGTAAAGTTGGGATTTCATGCCATTTTGCCATCATGAAACATTCAGCTTTTAACTTCTCCCAACCATTTAAAAATGTGGAAATCCCCGCCAGCTGCCAGGGCAGACACAAGCAGGGGCGGGGCTGGATTTGGCACAAGGACTGAAGTTTGCTGACCTGGGCTTTTCATCCTGGAGAGAGGCCACGTCCAGGGAGTCCCTGCTTGCCATGAGGCTAAGTCAGAAGCTCTCAACTGGGAAGAGAAACAGACAAGTGGACCGGAAAAACGTCCCCAGCGGCTTGTGTAAGCTCCCTCTCCTTTGAGAGGCTTCTCACCAAACCTAGAAACACCGATCCATTTAACCCTCTGTGACAACCATCACGAGGGGAGAAAACCCCCCATTTTAGAGACGGAGACTCCCAGGCTTCAGACCAAGCTTCTCAGGGAAGAACTGAGCGGTTCTCTCAAAACAAGTGCCTGTATCCCAAAGTGGACCCTTGGCAGGAACCGTCCCCTGCAGCCGTGGGGAGGGTGCTAGAACCTGGCCGGTTCCCCAAGCCCCGAGGGACTGTTGGCATCCATCAGAATCCCCGCCCAGCTCCCCAATTCCCAGGGAAGGTTCATCTGTAAACACCGTGGGTCGTGGGTCGGGAGCAGCCAGCGGAGGCTGTTGGCCCATGGATGCTGATGGTGACGGATGTGGGAGGGAAGTGAATTCCTCTCCCCACGTCCCCAGGAAGGGCCCACGGGAGGTGCCCAGTGTGTGAGTGATGAGGTGCTGGCACCCACCGCGTCCAGAGTAAATAAAAGTCTCGGTGATGGGAAGCAGGCGCTCGCGAGGAGTAGCGGGCAGGGCCAGGATCCAGACGAGATCCGTGCCAGGCGCAGCCCTCACGGCAGGGTCCAGCATGGCCGTGGGAAGATGTCAGGGGTGACACATGGGAGAGAGCTCCGCCTTCTCGTTAGACCCAACAATCAAGCCGTCTGTGGCCCAGCGGAGCCATCAGGGATGTCACAGCCCAGCCAGTGAGCAAGGGCAGTGTGGATCTGCGTCTCTGACCAGTGGCCGAGGTACCAGACAAACACCCCTTCTCTGAGGCCCACGGGGGGAGGGGGGAGGCCGGAAGAAAGAGGACGCTGCTATTCATCTTGTGCTTTGGCAAACGGAAGTAGTGGATTAAACACAAACAAGCAGGACACTCTGGGCAACAGGCCACCGGCCTGAGTTTCCCTCCGCCTGCTTTGGGCCAGCCTGTGCCTCTGCTCAGCTCGGCTCAGCCTGTTGTCCAACCCAGAATCTCACCGTCCAGAGGCCACGCTGGTCCCCTCCCCACCAACATCGGACCCTCCCCACCCCAAGGTCAGGCCTGGACCCAGAGGAAGTTCCCAGGACCGACCCTCACAGGCCCTGGTGCAGTCACTGGGGTGCCCTGAGGGAGCCTTTCATGCAAAGTGAGGTCGGCAATCAAACACGCAGAGCAGGTGACCAGGGGACTCTGGACCACCAAGGATCTTTGGGGCCACTGGATCTGCATTTCCTGCTTGGGACGAAGCCCGAGCATTTTCCTTGTGTCCAGGGTTGGCAGGCCAGGGTGAGCCCTGGAGGTTGGTTCCCTGGGGCCAGATCCCACTGTGCTGACGAGGACCTTGGGCCACAGCCCTCTTGGTAGCCTGTCAGTGTTCCAAGGTTGTGGCACCCTCTGGGAACCTGGTGGAAACTCTGGCTCCTCAACCTGGAAAGATTCATTGAGTGGACCTGCAGAGGACCCGGAGGGCCCGCCTGGCCCTGCCCTCTGTCCACCTCGGTCTTCCCTCAGTCAGCTCTGGGGAAGATGAGGAAGGCCTCACCGAGAGCCACATCCCTCCCCATCCAAAACTGAATGGGTTCCCTCGGAGTAGGGAGTGTTGCCGAACCTCTGGGGCCAGGAAGAGAAAATCCAGGGTCCAGGGACTTCAGCCAACAGCTGAAAACGCCAAATGGATTCACTTCTGGAATCAGGATCCAGTCACTCCCACACACCCGCACCCACTGCCACATCAGAGTCACACTGACCAGCTCTTCTGGCAACTCTGGGGGCCTTCCACCAGGGCAGCTGCCCCCACATTGCTATTGTCTCAGTGGAGGACCCACACCCTGGCCCCCCAGCCCGCCCCAAGCCTTATAGAAACCTGGCAGGACGCGCACCCTCCTTCAGGGGTCCCGAGCACCCCCACCTCTGCTGCTTGTCACTTCCCAGCCCGCAGAAGCACTGAGGGAAGATGCGCCCAGGCGTGTTGATGCGCCCAGGACCTGAGGCCCAGCTGCAGGTAGAGCACCTAGGGAGCCACCCAGAACTTCTGTCTCTATCCAGTGGCCAGGGTTGTCAGACCCTTGTATTTTTTTTTTTATATGAAAACTGAGCCCAATAACATCTTCTTTGTCTACTTCATAAGAAGGCTGCAGGAATCGAGTGAGGCCAGAGACAGGAAGAGGCTTGTAAAAAGTAGTGCTTCCTGATAAGAGTTGCCATTTCTACAGGTTTTTGGCCCATGTGAGGGGGAAGTCCCCTGGAATGACAGTGAGACTCTCCGAGGTGACCATTCCTGCATTGGGGCCAGAATTAGTGCTCAGCCAGCACCCTGGCATCCGCCCACCCCGTGGACACCAGCGGCTTCCGTTTCCTCTCCTCTGCACCCTGCACTAGGGGCTCTGCTGATTGGCACAGGCACCTGTTTTCTGTAAAGTCAGGATGAGGGGCCAGCACTGTGCCCTTTACAGGCCCAAGGGGAGACCTGGAGAGAGAACTGCTGTTGAGCCTGCCCTGGCCACTTGGGATTTGGCTTGCTGCACGAGATCAGCTGCTACACCTGCAAGAACAAACCTGATACCCGCCTTGCCCTTCCAGTTCCTGACCCCTGAGCAGCTGTCCTAGGACCTCTGCCACTGCCCACTGGGGCCCTGCGGGTTGCTCCCCTTCCTGCTGCAGGGGTGGGGTCTTGTGCATCCAGCAAACAGCCCTGAGCACCTGCTGCACGCCTAACATGGGTGCTGTTGCTATTTATTCTCACCCACCTGGTGCAGAGGCTGTCCTCCACGCTGGGAAAACACTGCTGATTTTAAAGAGCTCACAGGTGTCTCATGCAGCCCTGGCAACCTGGCAGAGCAGGGGAGCGGCCCCCAGGCCACACAGCTGGGAAGCAGCAGCCTGACCCTGACTGATCCCCGATCAGTCCCTTCACTCAGGGACCACCTTGCTCCCCACCAATTCCCTGTCTCTGCTTATTATGGGGCTTGTTTCCCCTGAGCTGAACGGGAGGAGCCCAGGAGACTTCCAGCCCCGGGCTGTCCTCCTGCCAGCCAGCGGGATTGTGGGGAAGAGAGAGCAAGCCCTGTCCCCCAGCCACACCTGGCACAGTGGGAAGGAACAGTCCCCAGACCAGGAGGGAAGCTGCGGAGAACTCCCCATGACGCGAACTGGGCTTGGTTTCTAGAAGCTGGGGCTGAGCGCTCAGGCTGGACTCTGCGTGAACTTTGGCCACAGAGGAAGCAGAGACCCCCTACAAGGGAGCCCTAGGTGGGCTTCCTGCCCATACCAGCCAAGGGCAACTAGAAACACATACGTCCATAAAGCCAGCGTGAGACAGAAACCCGTGTTTTAGACTAGGCCTAACAGACAGAACCAGTCACCTTCGGAATACAGAGCCAGGGGCCTGTCCCACAGTTTGGGTGTGGGGTTCAGTTTAGAGAACCCACTTAATTCGGGAATCCCCAGGGGGACTATGAAGGTAAATTCCCAGGGGAGTTTTGCAGGTCGGGCATGTTCCACCCCTGAGGACACACAGAGAAAGCCTGCTTGGGGTGACTCACAGCTCCCACTCCCAGAGCCCCCCGGGAAACAGTCCCCCCAACAGGAGACACATGAGCAGTAGCACCAGACCCTGGGGCTTTAGCTGCCTGAACAGCCCCGTGGGGACCGAGAAGTGCACATGCTCAGAATACAATCTGCATCCAGGAGGAACAGGAGACTTCAGGAAAAAAGGACATTTGATAAAGAAAGAATAAGTGGACATAATAAAGAACCAAACAGAACTTCATCACATGAACTCAGTAACCCAATGAGTCAAGGCAAGGTGGGCAAGGGACAGGCAGAGGGCGGGGGTAGGCGAGGGACAGGAGGGGGAGGAGGGAGGGATGAGAGAGAAGGGTGCTGCTCGGGTGGAGAAGAACAGCACAGTGACCAGCCACTGGTCACCACCTGTGGACTCAGACCCAGGCACATCAAGCCCTGAGCGACTCTGGGCGTGTGGGCAATGGTGAGTGGTGGGTGGCACAGCAGATGGACGGGTAGGTAGAAGGTGACGGATAGGTGCCTGGTGGGTGGTGGATCAGTGGATGGGGACAGTAGATAAGGGCAGGTGAGTGAGGGGTGGATGGGGAGAGAGATGGGTGAATGTGGGTGACGAGGTGGGTGGGCTGAGGGGCAGGTACATGATGGGTGGGTGATCACCAGGTTGAGCACATGAACAGGTTAGGCTGGGGGGGAGATGGGGAGGTAGAGGGCTGCCTGGCTGGGTCAGTGGACAGGGTGGGGGCCAGACAGGTGTGGTAGCAGTGGGAGGCAGGTGGTGAGGAGGGAGAAGGTGGCCAGGAGGGTGCTGAAGGGAGGTTGGGGGCATGGGTGCTGGGCGGCTGGACAGTGAACGGTGGATGGATGGCCGGGAGGTGGCTGGATAGGGCCCGGCTGGCCTCACCTGGGCTTTGGCCCTCACGGCGTCGTACTCGGCCTTCATCCTCTTCTGGGCCTCTTCGTCCACGCTGGGGTCCCCGATCCTGTTGAACAGGGAGCCCGCCTCCTCCAGCAGCCGGTCCAGGAGCACGGCCTGGTTGTCCACGTTGTGCAGCAGCACCTCGGCGTGGCCCAGCTGCCACTGCTTCTCCTTCAGGCCCAGCTGCAGCTCCACCTGGGGCTCCAGAGTGACCGTCATCTTCTGAAACCAGCGGTAGAACTCGTCCCGGGCCAGCAGGTACTCGCTCCAGTGCAGCCACACCCACTCGATGCGGCTGTGGGCACAGAGCACGAGGCCATGAGGAGGTGCCGCCTGGCTCCTGGGCAGGGGCCATGCCACTGTCCCCGCCCCAGCACCAGGGACCATGGAGACAGGGTCCCTGGACAGCTGGTGGACACTCCAGATTCTAGACCTCGCTCGGTCCTCCAGGAAGAGACCCTCCTGTCCTGCTAATAAGCTCCCAGTGAGGCTGCGGCTCAGCATCAGGTATGTCCTGAGAACACCAGCCAGTGACGCGGCTCAGGCAGCAGTAAGCCAGCAGCACCCCAGTTGCACGATCAGCACAGCAATCCCTCCAAAATCTCCCTGCCACAGGGACTCTGAATACATGGCCTGGGGCCCTGCCACGTGCTGTCCTCAGTCAGGAAGGACAAGGTCACCCGGGACTGTGCCATCAACGTGCAGACACAGTGGTGTCTCTGGTTTGCTAGTTACTATCCAGTGGGGGACTGCGGCCTGCATGTGGGTTCCAGGGGCACGTGAACTCTCAGTGTGACCACGCCTCTCCACCGGCCTCAGGGGCCCCTGAGCCACATGCAGAACCCTCCCATCTGTAAGGTGGACCTGGCCCTCTCGCTCCAGCCAGCAAACCTCAAGCCACCTTGTTGGGAATTTTGAGTGGGAGGGTTTGGAAGACAGCACTGAGCCTTGCCCTTGCAAGGTCATCCCTCCATCCCCCTAACCTTCAGGACCACTTGGCGGCCCCCGTGACTGGAGGAAGTGCCTGTGGCTCAGAGGCTGGGGATGTGGCTCAGTGGTCAATCGCATGCCTGGCATTTATGAGGCCCTGGGTTCAATCCCAGCACCAAAAAAAAAGGTGGTCAGGTAACTTTCCCAAGACCACACAGCAAGTACCGGGCTCCAGTGGAGGCCAGGTCTGTCTAGTCTCCGTCTCTCCTCTCCAACCCCTCCCCCACAAGCTGGGCTCCCTGGTGCAGGCAGAGCATGGGGCCAAAGCTGGCAGGCCAGGTCTTCTTCTCGGGGGCTATCCTGGAGGGCGTACGCATGAGCAGTCTACCAGGACTCGTTAGCAGACCTGGGGCTCCCCGTATCTACTACCATCATTAAGCTGGATACTAATGAGGAAGAGGCAGGCAGGCCGGGGCCGAACCCCCAAAGAACATCCTGTTCCAGGAATCCCAAGACTGAGAAATGCCCAGGTTCCAGGCCAGTGTGGTGGTGGCCAAGGAGGGTCGGCAGCCCTGGTGGGGTCCCCTGTCCTGGCTGCCCTACCTGTGACAGTGAGTCATATAGGTGACGGTCTCCTCCCACTGGGCCTTGATGTCCTTCAGCCGGGCCAGGATCTCCGGCTTCTGGTCCTCGGGGCAGCACGCCAGGAGCGCTTCGGCCGCCCGCAACACCACATCCACCTTCACGCGCCCCTCGGGCTCCAGCTGACAGATTTTCTGTGGGCACAAAAGCCAGTTTCCCAGGGTTGGGCACACACAGACAGGCCCAGGCTCAAGAAGACAGTGGCTTGGAGCTGACAGCCCGGACCCTGGGGCTGGAGAGCGGGGCTCAGACCCCCGCCCTGCACCCCTCCTCCGTGACCATGGGTGACCCACTCCTGGCTCCCAGGGAGGAGAAGAGGGGGAGCCCGGCACTGCTGGCCTGTCCCTGGGAGTACGCAGGCCCACTGGGCCTGGTCTGTCCAACACCTCTCAGTCCGCCCTGAGCTCCGTGATCTCATTTGTGAAATGGAGGTTTCTCACTCTGAGGTGGAATGACCACCGTCTGCCTCTCCGATTGTTTTTTCAGGATGAAAAGACAAAACACATGCAGTCATGTCACAGACGGTCCTCTCAGGTCTGTTATGGGGGGCCAGCGTGGCCCAGGGGCCCAGTGCAGCCTCTGGAATCAGCAACCCTGTTTCCCACCAGGGCCATGGTCCCACAGCCACTCCCACAGGTGACCAGTTGTGGCAGGGACACATGGCAGGTCTATATCTAGGAGACACAGGGGTCCCTGATGGGCCACTTTAACTCAGAGACACCTGGTCTTGCCAAGTGCCCTGAGATCCCCAGAGGCCTGAGCTGCTCCCACCAGCCCCCCTTGCTCCCCTGGCCTTGGGACCTGTCCTGCCTCCCAGCCTCCCAGCTCCTCCCTGCCTGTCACCTCTCCTGGGTGTGTCCCCTGCCTGGCTAACCTTATCTTGCATCAACTTCTTGGTGGCAGGAGGAACCAAAGGAACGTGCAAGGTCTGGCAAGGAGTGAGCCTCTGATTATCAACATTATTATTCTGATGCTCCGGGGCTGGCAAGTGTTGGTCCCTGGGTCAGACCAACACTGCGTTCCCACTCCACCCCCTGCTACTGTGTGACCCCTGTCACAGGACTTACGTCCTCTAGCCCACAGAGCGGGAGGTCACGGATAGGCCACCAGGGTGGCAGTGTGTCAGGAGCTAGAGGACCTCTGTCACCTGCTGTCACCACCTGCTGCTCGGTGGCTTTGTGCTTCCTGGAGTTGCTCATTTGCCTAACGCTCAGGTGCGCAGGCTCAGCTCCCAGCGGTCTCCCTGGGGCCAGCTGTCGGTTTCCCAGGCTGAGGTCCTGGAGCCTGGCTTCTCGGACCCTGTTCTGTGGCTGGAGTGTCGGTGCTGCCCCGCTGAGGGCTGTGGCCAAGGCAGGCCATCCGGCCCCTTGGGCCTCCCTTCCTGTCCCAGGGCAGCACTAAGGACCCCTGCTTTGCCCACCTCATGTAGTAATTTAAAAGTCACAGCAAAGAAAGCAAACTGTTGAGCAAAGGGCACTGGCCCCTACCCCTCTTGATCCTCCTCAGGATGGTGACCGTGTAAAGGACGTCCCCACCCATGACACTAACCGAGCTGCTCCTGCAGGTCGCCTTTGTGTGCACAGGGGAGTGGGGTGGGGCACAGGTAGAGAGAAGCTGAGCAGGTGTCCCCAGAGGAAAGAGGTCTTATTTGGGATGTGGCAGGTCCCACAGGGCAGGGCTGCCGCAAGCAACCAGTATGGTCCCCTGCAACTGCTCAGTAGCAGGCAGCCATGTGGGGACGAAGAGGCCGGAGTGGCCAGTGCCTGATTGAAACCCCAGGGCTCCAGCCTCTTAACCCACTCCCCAGGTAGGCCGTTGCACATCACTCAGGAACAGGATTCCACAACAAGGCCAAGGACAAATGTCCTGCCATCTAGAGAGAGATTTGACTGGTTATTAATAAACCTCCTCCAAGGACGTGGTGACTCCAACTCCCAGAATTTTCAGAGGGACCCCACATCCCCAGGCTTGCAAGACGGGCACGTTGGCAATCCCAGTCTTACAAATGAGGGCGCCCAGGCGGGCACAGGGGTGCATGACTGTAGTCCCAGCCACCGGGAGGGGGAGGCCAGGGATGGCGGAGGCCAGGAATTCCAGACGTGGGAGACCGAGATGCTCCTCCCTCTGCAGGCGAGTCCTCTGTGGCTCCCTGCAACAGGAGAGGAGCTGGCGGTCCCCATGCAGAACACCAAGCCCCCCTGGCTTGAAGCAGAGACACTGCCCCGAAAAGTCAACACTTGGGGTGTTCCTGAGGGCCTGGGGCTGGGAGAAGCCCCGGGCTGTGGCTGAGCTGGGGACCAGATTTCCCACAGTCCACCCTGCCCTCCTCCGCTGCCCCATGGTATGCTCCTCCCCTGGTCCATCACCAGCAGAGGGTGGCCAGGAGCGCCCGGCCAGGGGTGCGCAGCCACCTGGGAAGGAGCCCTTGAGCCGCAGCCAGTGTGGGCAAGGGGGGTGACGTGGGGATTGGAGTGGGGTTAACCAGGGTTTGAACCCAGCAAAGACCAGCTGAGCAGTGGGGCGCTGTGCTGGACAGTGGGGTCCCGCATGAACAAGATGAAGCCGGCACTTCCAGGCTGCAAACAAGAGCTCAAGTGACTGTGAAAAAGAACCATGAGGAAGCTCAAGGAGAGACCTGGGAAATCCCCGAGGGCTTCCTGGAGGAGGCAGCATGGCTGCCAAGTCTTAGAGACAGGGTAGACCACTAGAGGGGGTCTGAGCAAGATATATTTAGGGATGGGTGCATTTGGCTTTTGAAAGCCAAGTCCCAGGAAATGCTGGAATGTCCCTGACGAGAAAGGGGCCTAGAAGCCAGAGAGGGAGTCAAGGCCAGGAGTCCTGAAGTCCAGCAGGGTCTGGAGGCTGGGAGCCAGGAAGGAAGAGGACAAGACAGGGGGACGCTGGGAGGCGAGTTGGGAGCCCCAGGACTAGCTCGGCAAGGCTGGGCGGGGTGTGAACTGCACGAGGGCAAGGCCTGGAGCCAGCTGCCTCCACAGAGCAGCCAGAGAGGCCTTTGTCCTTGGCCTTCACCCTCCCTCCCTCCTGTAAGGCAGGGACTGTCACTGTCCCCAGGAGCAGGACAAAGCTCCTAGAGCTCGGGACACTCCCCAGGTGCCAGCCAGGGTAGGAGCTGGAGCCCAGGTGCAGGCCCAGATCCCAGGCCTCAGCCGCTGTGGGCAGCCCCTGTCCCCCCCCACCGCCCCCCAGGCGCCAGGGACAGGGGGCGTTTCCTGTGTTCTCCCTGCCTCCTGCAGCGCAGGGCTGCGACCAGGCCTTGCTCTTGCTGGGCAGCCTCGGCCCCCAGCCCTAAGGGGGTCTCATTTCCTGCAGCCTCTGGCAGCACAAGGCCAGCTGTCCCCTGCTCTACCTTGGGAAGACGAGGTTCCAGAAGGACCCCTCCTGGCCACACAGCTACCACGGGTCAGAGGATTGGGACCCACGTGCAGGGCCCTGGTGCTCACAGAGGTCGGGAGGCAGGAGAGGGAGATTGGCCAGGAAAGACTGAGGGACAGGCACTCACTTCACTGCCCACTCAGACCAAGCCAAAGGGCACCGCCAGCAGAGGACCCCCAGGAGGCTACGGGAGGCAGCTGAGGTGGGTGAGCAGGGTCGTGTGGCAGGGGAGGCTTTGGATCCCAGGTGAAGATTGTTTGGTCTTTGCTGGGCAATGGGGAGCCATGGGAGGTTGCAGAGGAGGAGGGTACATCATGGGACCCGACTTCGGGAGGATCCCCACACGGGCTGTGTGGTCGCCCTGACGTTTGGTACCATTCCCTTAGGCCACGGACTCTGGACAATAGGGTGTGTCTCAGCCACCTCCACGCCCCAGGCCAGGGATGGCAGAAAGGGGCGGGGCTCTCAAGGGCTCTGTCAGGGAGGCTTTCCCCTGAATGATGATGAGAACAGAGAGCGAGACCAAGTGAAAGGGCTCTCCAGAGGCGCTTGGAGACTGGGCCCCCAGTTGCAGGATGCAGAAGGTGGCTCCTCCCTCTGCCACCTAAGCCAGACCTGGACTCTGAAAGGTGATGCAAATTCTTCATCTTTACTGTCCTCATCCAAAAAGGGCGACAATGTTGCAAATGAGGTATTTGCAACAAATGCACAGAATAAGAGGGAACCCATACAGAAACCCACAGGATGGGGGTGGGGACTGCCAAAGCTAAGTGGGAGGTACAGGGTTTTGCCACAGGAAAAGGCAGGCCCTCCCCTTAATCAGAACCACTGTCCGGGTGCAGCGGCAGCTACTGGGAATCCCAGTGCCTCGGAAGGCCCAGGCAGGAGGATTGCAAGTTAGAGGCCAGCCTGGGCAAATTAGTTAGAACCTGTCTCAAAATAGAAAAAGTTTAAATAGGGCTGAGGGTGTAGCTGAGTGGTAGTGGGCCTCTGGCTTTCCTCTCCAGTACCAACAGCAAAAGAAACAAAAAAACAAACAAACAAAAAAATGTTAGGCCAAGTGCACTGGCTCATGCCTATCATCCCAGCTACTTGGGAGACTGAGGCAGGAGGATCACAAGTTCAAAGCCAGGCTCAGCAAAAGCGAGGTGCTAAGCAACTCAGTGAGACCCTGATTCTAAATAGAATACAAAATAGGGCTGGGGATGTGGCTCAGTGGTAAATTAGAATTATGATATTTCCAAATGACATGACCCCAGAGGTGTTTAAGTCAACTACTTCACTTAAAGAAAGGAAAACTGAGGCCCAGAGAGGGATAGGGACTTTGCAGACGCCACACAGCAGTCTAACATCATCATAGAAATTACAATTCCAGTCTCTGAATCTTGGTTTGATGTTCTTTGCTCTTGTCCCTTGGGTAGCCCACCCTCAGACCAGGGCACCAGGATGCCAGTTCAGGCACTGGCACCAACACTTCTGCTTAGTTCTCTGTGGACCCAGGCCCTCCTGTGCCCCAGTTGTGGTGGACAGAGCCCAGCGCTGGAGAGATCAGGTCATCGTTTCTGTCACTGGACAGAGCTCCCTCCCCATCCTGCTAAAGGCAGACCTGGCCCACCCAGACCCTCCTCACAGAGGCTGGGAAGAGGCAAGGGCCAGCGGAGTGGGGTCCACCTAGCTGCTCAGCTAGGACCACAGGAAAAGAGGGCAGGCTCCAGTCCCTTACTACCAACATGTGCCCAAAGAGCAGCAGCAACGTCTACCATGGGACTCGTCAGAAATAGACTCTCAGCCCTGCGCCCGCCCCCGGCCAGAGTCTGCATTGCAACCCAATGTCACGCAGGCCAGAGTGTGACAACGCAGGCCAGAGCGTGACAGCACAGACTGGCCTCCCCTGCCACCTAACAGGCCAGAAGCCTGATGTCTACAGGGAGGGACACGCCAAGGCCGCAGAGCCACCGGGGCCAGCACTCCACGTACCTCGGTCTCCTGCAGCCTGGCCTCCAGGGCGGCGCGGGGCCCGCGGGTGTCGTCGTTGACCCGCAGCTGCTCCTGCACGGCCGCCATCCAGGCCTCGGCGTCCTCCACGCTGCGGTCGAAGCCCTCCTGGGGCTGCTGAGTCATGGCACCTTCGGGGGCTGAGGAAGGACAGAGGAGGTCAGGAAGGTACAGGGGCCGCGTCCCGCCACCGGCACCCCAGAGCCCCTTGCTGCTCCCATTGGGCCACGCAGCCCCGCGGGGCCAGCCCGTCAAGCAGGCGCTGGGGCCGCAGGGTCCGGGCTGGCAAGGCCCCACTGGCCTCGGCCCCCGCTGCCCTCTCGGCCAGCTCTGACTCAAGCGGCTCTCTCCTATGGCTCGAGGGCGGGGACCCTCCAAGAGGGGGTCCTGAAGCTCACCATCTAGACGCCTGAGCCCCAGATCTTGATTGAGTGGGTCAAAGAGCCCTCGGCCTCGGAGTCGCAAGGCTTCCCCCTCCATGAACAGCCCAGGCTGGGGACAGCCGGGGGCTGTGTGTAGTCCCTACTTCTCACCACCAGGGTCCCCGGCCGTCACTGATTTCCACCCCGACCCCTGTTGGCACACCTGGCAGCGACGGCAACCTGCTGACCGGAGACGCAGCCGTGAGCTCCTCTGCCTTAGGTGGCACCTGCCCGCTGGCCCAGGCCACCCATCCAAACTACCCCCTTGCCAGACTGACACTCCTGGCCTGGCCTGAGCTGCAGAGGCAAAGTCTCAGGTTTTCTCACAGGGATTTCTTAAAACCCTGGGAAGCCCCAAACTCTTCTCCGACATCACGGTCTTCGTTTTCTGTTGATGGTTCGTCTAACCTGCTTTGGATTAAAGCTATTTATATCTGCATTGTAGGATTATGTCTGGCTTACCCTCCAGCCTCCCATGATGCCTTGCACGGAGTGAGCCCTAAGTTGTTAGATAGAGAAACACAGAATGGGTATCGAGCGTAACACAGCAAAACCCTCACCACGCCATTATCTACCGTGGCAAGGCAGGACAGAGCCAGGAACAGCCCACGTGCCCAGTGACTGAGGATGAGTTCATTACATGGTGGTCTATCTGTACTTGACAATATTATGTAACCACCCAAACCTACGCTCACAGTGAACTTGCAGAAGAGAATGTAGAGGCTGTCACAATACCAGAACATGAGGCAAGGTTAAATATTTGGTAGTTACAACTCTACACCTTCTAAGGCAAAATGAAACATTAACTGGGTGCAATGGCACACATCTATAATTCCAGTGACTTGAGAGGTTGAGGCAGGAGGATTGCAAGGTTGAGGCTAGCCTCGGCAACTTAGGGAGACCCTGTCTCGAAATAAAAATAAAAAAGGGCAGGGGATGTAGGTCAGTGGTAAAGCGCCCCTGGGCTCAGTCCCCAGGATTAAGAGAGAAAGAAAGAAAGTGTGTGTGCTTTGGGGGGCGAGGATCAGCAACCACTTCTACCCAAAGGAAAACATGGGGACATCTCCGTGTCAGAGGGTCCCTGTGACTGAATGGGAGCCGGGGTAGGGGCAGAGGTGGCCCACCACCCCAGGCCTGGCCCTGGCCGTCTCCAGGATTTTCTCCCCTGGCATGGGAACAGCACTGTGGCCTCAGAGGCCACGTGGTTGGGACACCTGTCTGCGGTCGGTGGGACCACCGCTGAAGTACTTTCCCTCATTTTCCCTCTCAGGCCCTTTGTGAATTTTCCAGAAGGGCCGTGGTCACCCAGTTTTCTGAAGAACCTGGCTGAGTGCCGTGGCCTTCTCCTCTGAGGGGGTTGGTTGCTCAACCAGCCCTTGCTGGGCGCCAGCCCCAGGCTGCGAGGGTGGAGAGCTTCAAGGAGGACATTGTAGGACAAAGGCAGCCGGGGAGGGGTGCGGGGGCGAGGCAGGGCGGGCTGCAGTGGGCTGCGCTCTGGGAACTGGGCCCGTGTGTTGTTTTTGTTTTTCTTCCAGAGCCGGTCTTGATTTGATTTTTTTTTTTCAAACAATTTAAGGCGCCCAGCGCCACGCCCAGGCTTTGCCTCTTTTGAAAAGCACATCAGACAGTGAGGACAACTCATGGTCCCAAACCGTGGTCTAGGGGGCGTCTTGCCTGGCTTCCAAAGGTTCGCTTTTGTTTTTTATAAAGCAAGGGACAGAAAGGCATCTCTGGGCTCTCAGAGGCCAGGGTGGGGGAGCGCGTCTAATCATCTCAAGGAGGAGGGGTTGGGTGACTCCCCGGCTGGAAGTGCCCAGGGCCCGTGTGGCTTGGTAGTGTGGAGACAGGGGGTGCATCAAATGGGGCACAGGGGCCTGATGCTGGGCTCTGTTGAGCCTCGGACGGAACCAGCGCTGGGCTGGGGAGCTGCAGGTGGTGCTGGGAGACCCGGGCCTGTTGGGCGCGTCTGCCAAGCCATTTTGTTTCAGCTCAGTTCAACACTAGAAATGTGACAGCTCGGAGCCGCACCAGAGGCCAGGACCACAGCGGCAAATAGGCATGACCCGTCCCGGCTGCAAGGGAGCTCTCGGGTGGCCGCAGGTGGAAGAGCCACCAGGCGGGTAAGGACGCTCCTGACCTTTCCTCCTCAGAAAAACCGGTTTTAAATGCCAAAAATAAAAGACAAAGAATTAGAGAACCAATTGTATCAAAACCTAGTCACCAAATATTAAAAATCAAATCCACGAGATGCACGCACAGCGGCGCCCCTTTCTGGATGCACTAAGTCACAAGATCTAACCGAGGGCCTCTAAGTTATAACTGTGCAATAGCATTGAGCACCAATGACACTTGGAGATCCCTGCAGCAACCACAACGCAACCTAAAAATACATGTGCCCAGTTCCAGGCGCTGTGACTCCCAGGGCCGCGGCTTGGCTCTGCCTCCTGCAGCTGCAGGAACACCGTCAGTTGGGTGTGGCAGGAGGTTGTTGGCTCCTGTCCAGGTTCACGGGACCCGAGATTCTAGCCAGGGGAGGGTCTTTTGTTGGTTGTTGTTGTTGCTGGGGTTGGAACCCAAGGCCTCCTGTGTGCCAGGCAAGCGCTCTGCCCCACCCCACCCCACCCAGGAGTCCTGCTCTCAGCTCCCCATCACCAACCGAGAGGAGCAACCGCACTAGGATGTATGGACAAACAGCTCCACGAAAGCCCATCTGGAGAGACGCTCCCCACACTAGGACCCCTGGAAGCTCACCAGGGAGCCCCCCGCGCTGGTCATTTGTGGAAGCCAAGGTCGGCGATAGAGGCCTCTGGGTGGAGGCCTGTGACGAAACCAAGTGGGGAGGCCCTGAAGAGCCCTGTGCCTAGTGGGGGGGCCACGAGCACATCCTCTGACAGAGGACGGAGAGCTGACCTCAGTGAACCCAAGCGCACTCCTGGCCTCATCCTGCGCTCCCGGGGACAGCCCTAGGAGCGTCCAATACAGCCCTCTGCAGCTGGGCCACCAGCATCTGAGCCACCTGGTCTTCCACTGCCCCCACCAGCCCTCAGCCAGCCTGTTACTGGCCCTGCCCCATCTCTTGTCCTCCTCCCTGACCCCACGGAGACCCCTGCCCTCGATGACCCCGTCCTCAATGATATTGCTGGGGTGGGGGGAGAGGGTCCTGCTCAATGCCCAGGAAGAATTGAGATGGGGCAAGCAGGGGGCTTTGGATTTGGAGTCTGGATAGTTCCCTGAGCAAGCGCCTGTCCCTCTGGGCCTCAGTGTCCCCATCTGTATGCGGTGAGTGTCGAATTGTGCTAAGGTTTGCATGTGACTTGTCCCCAGTGAAATTCATGTTGGCATTGATTCCCACTATAAGGGGGTTGTGGGGTGGTGGCAACTCTAAGGGGTGATCAGGTTGTTACGAGGGACTAACCCCCTGCTGCGGCACTCGGCTGCTTCTCTTGGGAGTGAGTTCTCGCTCTCTGGGGCGAGGCTAGTTACCATGGGAGTGGGTGGTACACGGCGAGGCTGCCCCTTGCGTTTCTCTTCTGCACACACCTGCTTGCCCTTTCGCTTCCCACCATGAATTAAAGCAGCACGAGGTCCTCACTGCTGCCATGTTCTTGGACTTTCAGCCTCCACAACCCTCAGCCCAAATAGACCTCTATTCTTCATAAGTCTGCCGGTCTCAGGTATTCTGTTATAGCAACAAAGAAATGGACCAGGAGTCCCTGAGGGATCTCTGAGGTTGTGACCGAGGCCCCTGTGAGCCAGGACAAGCCCAGCCACACAACAGGCCTGGGGACCAACCACTGCCCTCAGACTGTCAGTCACTTTTGTCCTTTGCTCCCTTTGTCTGCTCACGAGACCCTCCTCAGCCAGCCCACAGAACTGCTTCTGCCTCACTGCACCCCACAAAGCAGCTGAGGAAAGCCCGCCTCCCACAGCTCCCATTTCTCGCAGCCCCTGGGCATTCCTTGAATCACATCCAAGGTAGAATGGCCAGGGGACATTTTCCATGCAGGGGACGCACTTCCATGGCATCTGTGGCTGTGGATGGCTGCATGGGCCTCACGCATGCTCTGCTGAATATTGGTTCCCTGGCTCTGTGAAAAATGTGAGAGCCATCCTTGGCCTGCTGAGTGGACCAGAGCCGGCCACCAGCTGGGCCAGGACCACGGGCTGTAGCTACCAACTCCTGTGCAGATGGCCCAAGGCGCCAACCCACAACTTCAGGACACCACTGCTCCCCCAAGCTGGCGGCATGTGGTCTGGGGTAGGGCAGGCCTCACAGGTGGAAGGACCGGATGGTCCGTGGCCCAGGCCTCATGGTTCACTGGCTGCAGGACATCTAGCCACTCGACCCCTCTGGATATCCATCTCCTCACCTGGAAAATGAGTAACACCTACTGTGATCCAGGAAACCACCCCGTGGGCGGCTCCCAGAGCACCCTCCACAGGCGGACGCTGCTCCTTCCTCCCTGAACACCACGAGTGTTGGGTAGAGGGTCTCCCCTCTCAGGACTGGCAGCCAGACAGCAGCCCTTGACCACCCGGGGGCTCTAGGACAGCAAGGGGCCCGCCGGCCGCTAGACTAGTGGACTGCAGCCACACAGCGTGCCAGGGGCTGCGAGTGGAGACACAGGTGTGTGGCCTCACAGGACCACCTGTTCACTAAGGGACACGGACGTGTGGTCAGGTGGTCAGAGCACAGGCTGAGGCGGGCCTTGAGAGACAGGCCTGGGGACCACAAAGGGGGGGCTACTGGGGGCTCAGGAAGCAGCTGAGGGGCGGGGTGCTGCCTATGAGGCAAAGGAGAGGGGCTCGCAGCTCCCTGGGGGGGCGAGAGAGGAGGGGCGATGGCGAAAGCCGGGATGGGGGCGTGAGGGCCAGGTCAGAGTCTCTCAGCAGCTGCATCCAGGAGCTGGACTTGACCCTCAGGGCAACGGGAACCAGCAGGAGTTTTGGTATGGGGACAACAGCTTCAGGCGATGGCCAGGGTTCACGGGGATGGACACACGGGGCTGGCTGAGCCTGGGAACAGTGCAGATGGCCGCTGCGCAGGGCCAGGACAAGGGAAGGCCACGGAGCATGACCCTGTCTCTCTGCGGGGGCGGGGGGACTCTCATCTTTAAGTTGGTTAAGGAGATGGCATTTTAAAAGGGACCCCGTTCACAGCAGCCATGAAGAACTCGGGGAGGGGAGCTCGAACCGAAGGAAAGGACAGGGACAGGGCAGGTGCTGGTTACCCCAGGGGACCGCACACCTCGGATCCAAGGCTCCCTGTCCTGAAGCAGCAGCTGTGCCCCATAGACAGGCAGCTACTGCGAGCTAATTAAAAAGAAGACGTCCAACTAATCAGTAATGCCTTTGAAGAATCTGGTTGATTCCAAATCTGTTTTAAACAAGTTACATTTGTAGAAATTTTTCAAAATCATGTAGAATCTTCTCCCTCTAGTTTCTGACTACTCTTTTTTTATGCATCTGTAGATGCCCTTTAAACAGTCTTCTCACAGGCTATTCAAGATTTTCGCATAGGTTTCAGTTCTTGACACATCGGACAAATATTTCCTTACCTTGTTTTATTACATAAAGAAATGTTTAACAGTCACAATCACATTCGTGTGTGGATATATTTGTTCCCACATTATGTTAATCATTTTGTGGTATTATTTTTTAATGTTTAGTACTCTAATCCACCTAGAATTAATTTTGTTGCACTTAATAAGAAAAGAAAGTAACCTCAAAAGTAAAAATAATGATAATAATAAAGAACTATGCATTTTGTAAGCATTTCTAAGCAGCATTTCAGCAAGAAAAAGTGCTTGGGTGAAAATGAATGAATAAAGCTGCCTCTATTTCTAGGCCCCTGGAAGGGGAAGGTCTCCGGAAAGGGGCAGCAAGGGGTGGGCTCTGGGTGTGTCTCTCAGCTGTCTGTCGGGGCAGCAAGGGGGCCTCCGAGAGGACACTGACCACTGTGGTCCAGGCAAGTGCAGCCTGTGGAAGAGACAGAGAGGGAACAGCCTTGGGTCTCAGTGGCCACGTGGCCATCACCAATGGCATCCAGAAGAGGAGTATTTTTTTTTTCTCTTTTTTTCTTGAGGTAGAAGACTCAGGTTGGGGCAGGTGACAGGGCAGACCAGAAACAGATTAAGGACTTAAAACCTGGGCCAGAGCCGTTGGCTGGGAAGGCGGAGCAGCCCGTAGGAAGGTGGCCAAGGCCCTGGGCACAGCTGGAGACAGCCTGTCCGGAACGCTGCAACGGTGCATTGTGGGAGAGGTCAGGAAGCTTCCAGAAGCTGAGCGCCAGGCCTGAGCCATCTCCTCTGAACCCACTGAGAGCTGCCACGCAGTGCAGGGAGCCCGGGGCAGACAGCTCTGCAGGCCTTCAGTAAGATCCAAGTTCAGAAAGGGACCCTCGGGGATTGGAGGAGCTAGAGTGGAGGACAAATAGGCGAGCCCCCGCTGCCAGGCAGCATCCGCCTTACCGCCTGGCCACGCCTGCCCTGTGCCAACCCAGCAACCTTCTGACATTTTGTTCTTGAACCCAGGAAGTACTGGGATGTGGCTCTAGACAACCAGGCTCTGCAGCGGCCCTGAGAGTGTACAGACAGGGGTTCCCGCCGGGTGAACCCAGCCAGGAGCCGCCAACCAAAAACCCACCCAGAGTCCCGGTGGGCTGTGACTCACCAGCACTGTGACTCAGTCCTGCCCTGTCACATGGAGTTCCCACCCTTCCACCCTCCTTCCCACTGCCCTCCTATACTCAGATGGAATTTCAGGAACTGAGACACAGCTGGGTTCAACCGCAGAGTGTATTCCAACGGACTCCAGGAAAGCAATCCGCCCAGAGATCGCAGAGGATGCTGAGGAGAGGCCACAGCCCAGGACACCGACAGATGGGCCTCCGTGAGCCTCTCCTGCACTGGCTGAACAGAAGGCGGTTTTAAGAGCAAAGTGTGTACAAAGGAGGGTCAGGGGGCTCCCATGGAGGACAAACCAGCCTCAGACCAGACACTGTAGTGCTATCTTGTATATATTCTTCCGGCTCTCCAAGGCAGCTGAATCTAGATTTGGGAACCATCCCTGGGTTTTATCCCACCATAGAGGTAGCCACACAGAGGCTTGGACAGGGACTGCATGGAAGCCACACAGGCTCCAGGGGCCTCAACCTCCTTCTGACCATTGGCTACATGGCTGGCCAAACCACAGATCAAAAACATTTTTAGGCAGGCTGTATTGGCACACACCTGTAATCCCAGCAGCTTGGGAGGCTGAGGTAGAAGGACCCAAGTTCAAAGCCGCCTCAGAAACTTCATGAGGCCCTAGGCAACTTAATGAGACCCTGTCTCAAAAAATAAAAAGAGCTGGGGATATGGCTTAGTGGTTAAGCACCCTGGGTTCAATCTCTGGTATATATTAAAAAAAAAAGTTTTTTTTTTTTTAAACTTGCATTTTTATTAAACCTGTACAGACTTCTTTGTTCCTTGTCATCAGTCCCTAAGAAATACAGTTTAACAACTATTTACATTATATTGTTATAAGTAATCCAGAGATGACAGTCTATAGGAGGGTGTCTGTAGGTCCTATGCAAATACTGTGCCGTTTTATGTAACAGACTTGAGCGTTTGCAGATTTGGGTATTTGTGGGGGGTTCTGGAACCAAGCCCTGGTGGATACTGAGGCACGACTGCAAAGGTCATACAACAAACCCCACTTTGTGGGGGGTTGTGAGGTCCACTTTACAGTCCCAGTCACAAGAGCACAAGCCAGCAACTGCTTCCAAGGCAAGAGCGCTGAGAGTGACTTTAAATCAGCCCGCCATCCTAGATAAATGGTGCTTGGCACTGAAACCAGCGGCTCGCTGGCCCACCTCCTAACCCAGATAGGCCAGCAATAAAACAGCACCTCACATAGCTCCTAAATTAACTCCCAAGCTCTCCATCAACAGGCACGGCTGGAGGGTGCCAGGATTTCTCCCTGGGAAACACTGGCCTTGGCAGCCTGCAGTCAAAACCTAAGTGGCCCAGTGAACAGAGGTCGGAGAACAACCTAGGGAGGACCCTAGAGCAGGTGGTGGGTCCTCCTAGGGGCTTCCCAGGGGCGGGGCAGTAGCTCCAAAGGGTGGAGCCTTAGCTTTTCCTGGCCAGTTGTGATTGGCTCAGGCTCCAGGAGGGCAGCCAATCAGAGGATGCGGGAGTTCACCGCCCCTCTCAGGACCTACTGGGTCCCAGGAGCTGCTGGCAGAGTGGGTGAGCAGAGCGGGTCAGAGGGCAGGAGGTAGGGGACGGGTCTTCTGCTGAGGCCCACAGCGCTGGGCAGGGTGTCAGGGACTGTCTGAGGCTGGCTGGGATGCTGAGTGTCTTGTCCCAGGCTGATGTGGGCAGGCCCATTAGTGTCGCCAGTCTGACCCCAGGCATTATTGCGAAGCTGCAGTTTTATCACACTGGGGTCATGACCTCTCCATGGGTTGTGAAATTAATTCGGGGATCTTGATCCAAAGTGCAACATGTAGAATGGATGTGTGTTATCAAGTGTTGTCATGGATTTCTTACTAAGTGTCGTAACACACACACAACACAACACCCCTTTGAAGAGTGCTGGGGGCCAGCACTTCCGCACACACCCACCCCTCACCTGGAGGGCTTCTTAAAGCAGATTGCTGGCCCCACCCCAGTTTCTAAATCGTGGAGGGTGGGACCCGGGAGTAGTCGTTTCTAACTAGTTTCTAGATAATGTTTCCGAGCCACCAGTTTAGGGGATGTCTAAGGTCACCGAGGATGGAGCTTACTCCAGCTATGAAGGGGATCTGTCTGTGTGAATTTGTTGGTGGCGGGATTTGGCGCTGTGATCAGGCTTGGGTCAAGTGGGCCAAAATTAGAAATCTAAAAGGCAGGGATCTCCCTTGCTTGTCCCTACCCACCAGGGGCTTCATTTCCAGAGCAGCTGCGTGTGCTGGTGTTTGATTAATAGACCTGAGGGTGGCCACCCCTGTCCCCAGACCCTGGGCCTCCCAGAATGCCAGACAGAACACAGGTATTTGTTTCCTCTGCTCCCACCAGGCTGTCTCCCCTTCCTCCCTTGGCCCCCTCCTCTCTGGGCCCTGCCTCCCCATGGAGCTCAGGGCCTTCTCTGAGTCCACAGGAAGGAGTGGAACTTCTCCCACTACCCCCCCAGCACCAGCCATGTTCATATGGGACCAGGGGCCAGGGGAGGGGGCAGGAACAGGCATCCTCTCAGTGTGGGGAACAGGGCAAGAGAGCCGAGGAGGAGCGCTGCCCAGCCCCTGCCTCAGCAGGAACCCATCACCTGCAGTCCCACGCCCCTGGAGATGGACTCTCCAAAGCCCTGGGCCGAGGACAGCTCTCCACTGGCCTGGGGCGAGGCCCAACCCATGCCACAGCCCTCCCTGAGATCTGTCCCAGTGGGGTGGAGCCAGCAGGAACTCACTCCAAGTCCCTATACTTGTCCTCACCCTGCCAGCATCTCTGGGGCGTGGCACTGACCCACAACCCCCATGCTACCCTCTCCAGCCCCCTCCCTGATCTTGTTGGCCTTGGGAGTCAGAGGTGTGTGCCAACCAGGTCTGACCCAGTCCCCCCAGCTCCTCCTCTCCTCAGACACAGTCTCCCCTACAGAGGGAACATTTCTGCACCCACCAGACCTGCCTGGCTGGCTGGCCCCGCCTCCCCAAGCATCTCCCACAGAAACCAGTGTCTGCTCGCTGGACTGTCACCACAGTGACCACTGATGCCTCACTGCATGCCTCCCGCTGCCTCAAACCCAGATCACACACGAACAGGCCCTTTAGAGGAAAATGGGCAGCACAGCACAGTGTCCTCGCTTACTGACAACTCACCAATGCGACATCAGACACAGCAGAAAGCAGGGGCTCGATGCAGGGTGCACGATATTTTGTGTTTCTTACACAAAATTTTTAAGACTTCCCCTAGAACTCATATCTCTAGAGCAGACCCTCATGGAAGGGGCTCCCACCTCGCCCTAACTTGCCAGGGTGCTCTGGTCCCTGCAGGCCATGTTTCTAGAACCTTTGGGCCTGGGCATTGCCCCCCAAGCTAGTTCTGCCTGGGAAGTCCTTGCTGAGGCCAGGCCGGCCCCTTCGCGCCTCCTGCTTCCAGGCCTTCCCTGTTCTGCTTTAGACATCCAGCCAGGGCCACTCAGGGGCAGCTTCCTCGACCTTGGCAGGAAGGACCTCTCCCCTGCTTGGGTCTCCTGGGGCCCCGTGTCCTTTGTCCTCCAGCAGCCCTGGGAGTGGTCCCACTGCTCAGTGAGAGGACTGAGGCTCAGGTGGCAGAGGGAGAGCAGGGACAGGAAACCCCCCCTGCGTGTTGTTTGTATCTTGTTGCTCCTGTCTGGTGGCACAGACGGGCGGTCCCTGAAGGAACAGGTAGGATTCATCTTACAGATGGCTGGCTGGAGATTTTACTTTTAACACTTTTGTGGGGCGCATCACTGACAAGCAAGAAACTTCTCATAGTTAAAGTGCACAATTTGGTAAGTTTTGACACAGACAAGTCACTTAGGAAGCTACCAGCCCATCCAGACAATGAACCCATCCTTGAGTTCCCGATCCTCTTTATAATTCCCAGGCAGGCACGGAACTCTTCACTGTCACTAATGATTAGCTCCATTTTTCTAGAGTTTAGTGCACAAATGGAATGGAGAGATACAGCAGGAACCCTTTTATATATATATATTATTTTTTTTTGAGAGGTCTGGCTTCTCCCATTCACCATGACCACTAGGAGATCCATCCCCCCACCTCCTGCTGCCAGTATCGATGATTCCTTCCTTTTTATTACTAAGCTATATTCCAGAGCAGGACCTTCCATGGGTTGGTCATTCCTTGGCCCACTGGTGGCTGGCATTGGCTGTCACAGGTAGGCTGCTATAGCACCCAGGTGTGGATAGAAGACTTTGTTTCCCTGGTATATAAATGCCAATGAGTGCCGGATCACAGAATGGCACCTGGGCACTGTTTTATGAAGCTGCCAAACTGTGCTCCCAGGTGGCTGAGAGGCTTGGTATTTCCACCAGCGTCTGTGAGAGCGCCGGTTCCCGCACACCCCGGCCTGCACTTCACATGGTTAATCTTTTTAATCTCAGCTCTTCTAACTGGTGTGTAGTGATAGCATGTGGTGGCTTTCACTCACAGCACAAATGGCAAAACGTCTTGTTGATTTTGCACTTGTAGTCCAGGAAGCCCTTGCTAGGCGGTGACTCTGTACCAAGCACTGCCCAGGCCTCTCTCCCTATAGAGCTCCCCAGGGTGCTCAGCACCAGGCCAGCTGGCAGAGGCCGAGGGCGTGAGGAGCTGAGTGACCGGGAGAGACTCAGCCAAGAGCGACCTGCTCCAATTCCAAGGGTGCTGCCAGCCAGCTCCTTGAACGGGTGACTCTTGGGACAAAACCAGGCACCTAGAACCAACAGCCAGGAGGATGTAAAAGCAGAAAAATAGACTCACCAAATGTGCACAGGCTCTCTCAACTCCCACAGAGCACTTCCGTGGGGCCTCTATTCCACCACCCTGGGGCCCCTTTGTATCCTCCTGAAGGTCCCAAACTGGACCTGGATTCCTGCACAGCATGTGCGTCAGCCCTGGAACCTCCTAGCATCAGCGTTGAAGATCAACGACCTTTGATTTATAGGAAGCGACCACAGTCCAGCTGCTCCGAACTCAGCTTGCTTTCGCTTCAGATAAACAGCACGTGAGCCCTTGCCTATTTTAATTCCAGTACTGGGGACAGATACTGACATACAGCTGGTGCATACAAATACTGTTAATGGAGAGATAAATCTGGAAAATGCAAATAAGAGCACCTATCCCCGTTGGTACTTATTATGTATTCAAAATATGTTCAGGGTTTTTTTTCCCCTCTCTTTTTAATTAAAGAAGAGAGCTGCTCAGCATGGTGGCACACTCCTATAATCCCAGTTGTTTTGGGAGGCTGAGACAGGAGTTCAAAGCCAGCCTTAACACCTTAGCAAGGTCCTAAGCAACTCACTGAGACCCTGTCTCAAAATAAAATATTTAAAAGGACTGGGGATGTGGCTCAGTGGTAAAGCACCTCTGGGTTCAATCCCCAGTAACCGCCCTCCACCCCGCCCCACATACACTCAAAGAAAGAGGAAAAAGAAAAGTAAAAGAAAGAAAAAAGCATGGAACCAGGATGTGCCTCCCTCTGCCAGCATCAGTTCTTGAAATATATTCATGTTGCTGGTTCAGTGAAACCTGAGAAAGGCAAGCTCTAAGGGCAACAGTGGACGTCAGCATGGGGTGGAGCCAGCCGAGAAGTGGGTTTAGGGGACATGGGTTCCAGTGAGGGCTCTGCCACCCACCAGCTCCATGACTGCAGTCTCCTTATTGCTAAAACAGGAGCAGTTGTCGCCACCTGACTTCCATGCCTCTGAGATTGGGTTAGCTTTAGTGCAGAGGGTGTGGTGAAAGGGCCACATGGGTTTCACCTCCAGACTTATTTGAACAGAATCATTGTAAATAAGGGAAGTCCAGGCTTCTGAGCAGCCCTGATCACTCCAAGTGTAAAGGGCTTTAATTATCTTCTGCTCGAACAATCAAGAGGCTAATCGTACCATGTTACCATGTTACAACGTGTCTTGGCCGTGGGCTATAAGAACCAATTGTGGATTGAACATAACATGTTGGAGTGAATGCTGCATTTTTTTTCAAGCTACAATTTCAACCTGTAAGAGCTGTGCCATGCCATTTAATAAAGCACTTTATCAAGCTTTAGAAACAAATATTCCAACAAGCATAAATATGTACCCATGGTATAAATAAGGGAACAAAACACAAAGATGTTAAATAACCTTCTCAGGAGCATGCAGAGCCAGGATTGGAACTCAAGAATTCTAGCTCCAGAGTTTACTCCCTAACCAGGATACTGTACTTGTAGACCTGTGCTCAGCACCTACTTGGTGTGTTGTACTGGTTAGAGCCCAAAGTGTGAGTGAGGTAATAGTTGCCGCTGCTGGGGGGCAGGTACAGAGCATGGTGGCCTTACTGCACAGCTCCACCCTTCAGATATGGCCTAAAGCAAATGTTCACCCTGTGGACCAGGCCTGGGCTCTATCAGCAAAGTCATGTGTTGCCATCCATTGCCCGTACCTGCTGCCTACAGTACCAAGGGCCAGCCAGCATGTCCACTCCACTCAGGATTGCTTGCTGATAAGTCTGTCTTCCACTGGACACTCAGCCTGGATCCCAGCTGGCACCGAGCGGGAGAGCAGCGTGGCTTACTAAATGAATGTGCACAGCAATAATATTGCTGGAACTGCCCCCTGATTTAGGACAGGCTGCAGGGGTGGGCCTCATGGGATGGCGAGACACTCCAAGAAGCAGAGGAAAGAAAGGATACATGCAAACCTTCCCGAGTGCCCTCATGTCACAACTGAGCCAATGCTCAGAAACCCTCTTACCTAGCTGTGCTGTGTTTTAGACAGAGAGACTGAGATTTAGTGAAGGAAACAGACTCACCCAGGATCTTCCAGCAGCTCAGCCACAGAGCTATGGCCAGGACTTATCTTTGTATAAAGACATCCTGCGCTTCTGAAGGGGAGCATTCCATTTCTTCGAAAAACCCACAGATAAAGAAAGGGTCAATCCTCATATTTATAGGCAATTCTCAACAAGAGCATCAAACCAATTAAATGAGGAAAGGATAATCTTTTTGACAGACAGTGCTGGAACAACCAGATATCCACAAGGAAAGCATGAAGTTGGACCCCTACCTCCCACCAAGTGCAGAGTTAACTCGGTAGGTCAAAGGTCCAGATGTAAGAGCCCAAACTATGAAACTCTAGAAGAGAACAGAGGCATAGACCCCTGGCCTTGGATTAGACAGTGGTTTCTTAGACGTGATGCCAAAATCACAAGCAAAAAGAAAAAATAGAGAAATTGGACACCATCAGAATTAAAATCTTTTGTGCTTCAAAGGCCCCCACCATTAAATAAGGGAAGATGGTGGGAGAAAGATTTAGTAAGTTATGTAACTGACAGAGGACTTGTATCTAAATATTCAAGGAACATTTACAATTCAATAATAAAAACACGAATGATCCATTTATAAAATAGGCAAAGGATCTGAGCAGACATTTCTTGAAATAAGATGTTCCTACAAGTGGCGAATAAGTACACGGGAAAACAGAAGTCCCAGAAGAGGAGTCCAAACCATTAGCCATGAGGGAAATGGAACGAGAAGCTACTGCCTATCTACCAGCCTGGCTGTGATCTCAAAGACGGGAAACAGCAGTGTTGGTAAACAGGGAGAGAAGTCGCAGCCTTCCCATGATAGGTGACCTCCAAGATGGCCCTCCCCCTCGGGCGCTCTGCAGCTCTGAAAGTTGCTATCCTCTGTTTCAGAGATAAGGAACCTGGGCCTCTGAAAGGTGGAGAAAACCTCTGCTCACTGTAATTGCCCGAGAGGCAGAGCTGGGATTTGGACCTGGGACTGTCAGATTCTGAGGCTGCTGCTGACCCAGGTCGCCTCAGGGGCTTGATGCCATTCCCTGTGTCTAAACTGTTCTTATGGGCATTACAGAAATGACAGGATTGTTTTTCTTTATGGTGCCAGGGATGCAACCCAGGGCCTCCTGCATGATAAACACCTGCTCTGAACTGCACCCTCATCCCCAACCTGAAATTTTAAAATCCAACAATGGAACCGATGGAAAGCAGAAGTGCCTCCCTCAGGAGATGCAGCAGGTGGGCAGGCAGAGCACTGGCCTGAGCAGGACACCTCTGGGACAGCCTGGTCACCCGAAGCCTGCTGGCCCCTGGCAGGCTCAGGAGAAAGGAAGCTGGTGAAGCCCTTATTCACAGCCTCCAGTGGCAGGGCTCTCAGCCCAAGGGGGCGTCACTATGCTTAGAATTCCCGAAAGCCACAAACCCATCTATTATGAGAAGCCACTCAGTCCAGCAGCATCTGATGAGTTCATAGTAAAAATGTGTTTTTGTGCTTGAGTGACAGGTCTTAACATTCATCCCTATTTTACAGACGAGGACACCAAGGCTGAGAGAAGATCCAGGGCCTACGCAAAGTCTCGAAGTAGTAGTTGGGAGATGTGGGGTCAAATCCAAGATCACTTGGCTCCCACACCCAGATGCATGGGGTGCGGGGTCACGCAGGCCCACAGGTGCACAGCCCGTGGTCTCCATGACCACAGGTTCCAAATGGTGTTACATGGAGAGATGCACCAGGAGCTCTGGAGGACCAAGCACCCAGGGAGGGGCTCACCCAGGAGGGGACACCTGGCTTGGTCGGAGGGATGAGAAGTGGGGACAGGTGTAAGGAGCAGGTAGAGGGGCAGGAGCAGGGCTGGGGGTGGGAAAGTGCAGGCTGAGGAGGGGGTGGAATTGTTAGCAAAGGGAGGCATCAGAGAGCCATGCCGGGGAGGGGTCTGGCGCCCAGGTGACGAGGATTCCAAGGAGTGTGTGGGTTTTACTCAGTGCAGTAGGGAGCCAGGATGGGTGGCTCTGAGCAAAGGAGTGGCATCCAGGGTGGGTGGCAGGTCTCACAGCAGTCGAGGCAACACAAGACCGTCTATCTGGAGACAGTGTCGGTCCCGCGGGGTCCTTGCTACGTGGCACCTGAGGTCGCATGCTAGAAAACGCCTTGGGAGTCGGTAGACCCTAAGGCAGGCTTTTTACTTAAACCTGCTCTTCAAAAAAAGGCCAAGAGTTCCAGCAGAAGCATCTTCTCCAGAAGGGACTGGACTTGCACACGGCTGGGGAGCTGCGGGGAGCAGTCCCTCCGCCCACCGCACCTGCACCCTGCACCTGACGTCCGTCCTCAGAACCCCTCTCTAGTAAACCTGGGCCACGCCCCTGAGCTGCCAACGCCTCCTCCAAGCTCATCTGTGCCCCTGTGAAGGCCCTGGATGAGTGTCAAAGTCATCTCGGATGCAAAGAGGCTCCTGAGGGTGGGATAAAATGTCACCAAATGCCAGTTAGGACAGCCAGGGGTCCCCTGGGCGAGGCCCACCCAGTGATGGCCCGGTGTTTGTTTCTGTATCGAAGGGTCCCTCAACTACCAGGGCAGGGGGGCCGTGCCACCTTCTAGACGGAGAAACTGAGGCTCGGAGTGGCCAGCTCTCCTGCCCGGGTCAGGCAGCTACTAAGACCCGGAGCTGGGAACAGCCCAGGCCTGTCTGCCCTAGTGCCCGTGCTATGCGCAGAAGCTCACCAACAGAGGAAGTGAGTCAGGAGGCCAACAGGGGGTTCCTTTTTGAGTCAGGACGGACTTCCCATCACACGCCCAGCTGACTACAGAGCCAGGCAGGGTGGAGGCTGAACCCCACTGCTGGGCCCCTGAGGCGTCCACCCCAGGAGCCCTCCGCGCGAGGACACGCGGAGAGGCATGCGCGGCCAGGGCTGCCGCTGACCGGCCTGCTGGGCCTCCCGTAGACGTGGCCGGGGTATGACCTAAAGTGAATCAGGCAGAGCTGTCCAGGCAAAGACACCTGGACTGGCAAGGACGCCACAGGGCCTGGGCCTGGGGTTCAGGAGCTGCTGGCTCTCACTGCCCCAGAGGGGCCTGAGCAGACGACAGATGATGGCGGGGCCTGCGAAGCACCCAGCGAACAGGCAGAGTCGGCTGGGCTCAGCTCATCTTCCAGCGGGGACCCCACCAGGGTCACCTTCTCTCCCCGGCAGAGCTTGGGACACACAGAATCACCTGATGACAAAGCGCCTCCCAACACCTACTCTA